TAAAGTATTATTGCAAAATTAGTTTCCACACAGAATGTTTCTTAGTTTACTAGCACAGTGTGAATTACCATCAGTATCAGAAGAAATTGGGGGAGGGGAGGGTATAGCTACAGGATTATTTATCTCTGAAGTTGATAATAGGGCAGCTGGGACCATGAGGAGGAGGGAGACTTACATTGTTTTGTAGATTTTTATTTATATATAATTGCATATGTGTATATAAATATAAAACATAAATACAGGACACATTATGTATAGTTAAATGGGCAGTGTGACAGAGAGTGTGTGTGTGCAAGAGATGGAGATGAGGAGAGAGAGAGAAAGATCTTCCATCCTCTGGCTCACTTCCCAAATGGCCACAACAGCAGGGTTGGACCAGGCTGAAGCTAGGAGTTAGGAACTGCATTCAGGCCTCCCACATGGGTGGTGGGGTCTCAGGTATTCAAGCCATGATTTGCTGCTCCCGGGTGCATTAGCAGGGAACTGGATCAGCATGGAGTAGCTGGGACTCCAACTGGCACCCATATGGGATGTGGGCATCCCAAGTGGCTGCTTAATCCCCTGTACCACAATGACAGCACCTGTTACATTTTTTGGAACTTCAGTAAACAGGACATGATACTTACAATGGTTCCTTAACATGTGCATATCCATACAAAACAGTATTCATTGAAATTTTTGATAATTACTAATTTCATATATTTTCCAGCATGAAATAAATAATTCTAAATGTACATGAATTTTTGGGTCATTTCTTCTTTACAGATGGATGGTAATCCTGTGCATTTGTTTCCTAGCTTACGTGAATAACATATGAAATATTTAAGCTCTGAATTCAATAAAATCTGAGATGGAGGACAAGATCAGTAATATTTTGTAATAACTGCTGGAAATCCACAGTCTGAGTGCAGATGCAGCTGGTGTGAGACTACAGCCATCACAGGTGTCCTGGCGCAGCCCTACAATTACAGAGGAGCAGCGACCCCGTGAGGCAAAGCCAAGTGGTGCACCTGGGCGCCTAGGATATTCTTCTGGCAAGGATATTACTACTAAGGACTTTTGAAAGGTTGCTTGTTTTTACAGCTCTAGACTCAGATCAATCACTGAACGCCCATTTTTGGCTAGTTAAATATATTTTCATGTTACTTCAATGTTTTGTCTGGGGGGTTGGCATATCTAATATGATAGTTCGAGGAGAAAAATGGCAAGCATTGACAGTTGTGGTTATGTTGTGCCTTTGAGAACTGAAGTAACAGACAGTAACTTTGAGTTGTTGCTGTTGGTTTTTTTTTTTTAAATCTGATTAGTTATTGGTAATATTAACAAATAGGTTGAGCAAAGACTTTAGATAAAATGTGTTAGGTTATAGAGGAGAAATATTAATGAAAAAAAAAACAAAAAACTCAACCCTCAAATATTTTACATTCCATAGATTTTGTTGGATTAACATTTTATTTTAATGCACTTTCTACTAGTTTTGCTAATAATTAAGAATTAAGAGGCAGGTGCTGTGGCATAGTGGGTTAAGCTACCACCTTCAGCACCGGCATGCCACATAGGTGCTGGTTCAAGTCCCAGCTGCTCCATTTCTGATCCAGCTCTCTGCTAATGCACCTGGGAAAGCAGCAGAAGATGGCCCAAGTGCCTGGGCTCCTGCACCCATACGAGAGAACCAGACGCAGTTCCTGGCTCCTGGCTTCGGCCTGGCCCAGCTCTGGCCATTGCATCCATTTGTGGAGTGAACCTGTGGATGGAAGATCTCTCTCTCTCTCTCTCTCTGTAACTCTGCTTTTCAAATAAAATAAATAAAACTTAAAAAAAAAAGAACTAAAAAAGAGAGGATTGAAGAAAACAAACTACCATACTCTAAGTCTTCTCTTAAAGGAGATAATGACACTATTACTCAGGTGGTGTACTTCCCCAATAGTGTTCCCTAGGATGCTGGATAGGTTTTTTTTGTTTGTTTGTTTGTTTGTTTTTACCAATAACCCTTTCTTTCAGCAATGAAATATTTTGGGGTAATAATCTCAGTGCTCTATTAAATTTTTTTTTTTTTTTTACAGGCAGAGTGGACAGTGTGAGAGAGAGAGAGAGAGAGAGAGAGAGAGAGAGAGAGAAAGGTCTTCCTTTTCCGTTGGTTCACCCCACAATGGCCGTTCCGGCTGGCACGCTGCAGCCGGCGCACCACGCTAATCCGAAGCCAGGAGCCAGGTGCTTCTCCTGGTCTCCCATGCAGGTGCAGGGCCCAAGCACTTGGGCCATCCTCCACTGCACTCCCGGGCCACAGCAGAGAGCTGGACTGGAAGAGGGGCAACCGGGACAGAATCCGGCACCCCAACCGGGATTAGAACCTGGAATTAGAACCAGAGGATTAGCCTAGTGAGCCGCGGCACCGGCCTATTAAATTTTTGTTGATTAAAATTTTTCAAGGCTTAAGTGTGGGCTTTTATCTATGTTGACATATAATTAATCCCGAGATAGCAGATGTATTGCAGTGAAACTCATTTTCTCTGAAGTTCATTTCAATGATTTATTATTAAATAAAGCAATGATTCCATTGATACAAGAGATTAATGTGATCAAAAATTATGAATAAATGAACAAATGAATGATTTGTTTTCCAATGCCCTCTTTTTTTTTTTTTTTAAGATTTATTTATTTGAAATTTAGAGTTACACAGAGAGAGAAGGAGAGGCAGAGCGAGAGAGGTCTTCTATCCACTGGTTCACTCCCCAATTGGCTACAGTGGTCGGAGCTGCGCCGATCGGAAGCCAGGGGCCAGGAGCTTCTCCCTAGTCTCCCCACTGAGTGCTGGGGCACAAGGAATTGGGCCATCTTCCACTGTTTTTCCAGGCCATAGCAGAGAGCTGGATTGGAAATGGAGCAGCCAGGACTCAAACCGGTGCCCATATGGGATGCTGGCACTGCAGGCAGTGGCTTTACCTGCTACACCGCAGTGCTGGCCCCTCCAATATCCTTTCAAATGATCAAATGGAGCAAAAACTTTAAACAAAACCACCTCAGTATATTTTCCAGTATTCTCTCAAACTGCCATTTTCTGTGCTCTTATGGCGCAAACGCCATAAATGAATGAAGCTTGGTTGTGTCCCAAATAAAACTTAGTTTAGGTCACAGAAATGTCAATTTCATCAAATGTTCACATACCACAAAATAGTCTTAAAAATACTTTTTAAAAACCCATTTTAAAAAAATGGAATATGCATTCTTAGCTTGAAGGCTGCACAAAAATAGATGGCAGGTAGGATTTGGTTGTAGGGCCATAGCTTGCTGACCTCAGCATTACCTCACTGGGTTGATGGAAGTTTCCTGTTTGATCAGATACACTTGCGGTTCTACTGTCAAGTGAACTGGAAAGAGTTTTCTCACAGGCCTTGCTTGGCACCCAACACTTTGTACCACCCCGCAGGCCTGGAGAGGAGGGAGTTCTATTCCATGTTCCTATGGCTAGGGGTAGCCCTTACATACTTAGACTGTAGACTTAAGAAGGGCTGTCACAGGCACAGGCAGCGACGTGAAGGGGTTGAGCCTCTTTATAGATGAAGCTGCTTGCAGCCTGTGAAGAGGCAGTGACAAGTGGTTGCAGTAATCGAGGGGAGAACGACAGTGGGCTGGCCTGGGCTGGTGGAAATCATCTACTAAGCAGAGCAGACAGACTGGAGATGTATTTAGGCTTAGATGCTTGCCTGAATGAGCATCGATTAGCTCGTTCAATACCTGTCTCACCAGATAAAAGAAACGGATGACCTATCTAAATGTAGTTGGTACAATGCATCACGTCTTAGCCATGAATAAGCATTTTAAAAAATTGCAGGATCCTTCCCCTGGTGGGAGTTCTGGCGTGCAGAGGCCAGCTGTTTCGGCCTTTGCTGACGCCAGGCAAGGACACGTCCCTGCCTCTCGCTGGACACCTGGGAAAGGCATTGGCCCGTTACCTCCCCGCTGAGTCAAGTGTTTCCTGGTTCAGAGAGGAAGTGGCGTCATTCATGCCTCACTCCTGGCTTCCGGCTTTGATTTTGTAACCTCTGGCCTTTTTTGATCATTGGAATTGTATATCTAAGTCGGCTTGTGACCTGGCGAGGTGGTCACGGGGCTCTCCTGTCTGCCCGCCTGTTGACTGCTTGCTTTATCAATATTGGGGTTCCCAGTTGTGAGGCAGTGGCCGAGGGTGGCATCTGTGGGGAGAACCTGCCAGAGGCCTGCACGCAGGCCCGAGTCTGCCGGTGAACCGCTCTCCCTGCTGAGAAGCCAAACGCCGCTCCTCTGTGTGACTGGCCGCTGAGCCCTCAACTTGCCCTTGACCTCCACGAAGAACTGCGCGCCGTGAGGCTCCCTCCTTGCCCAAGTTCGGATATGAGTTCGTTTTCCTTTGCCAAGGGACCTGCTGGTGACTGGGAAATGCCTGTGTCTGAGGTTAACAATTGTTTCTAAGTGAATAAACGGGCCATTTAATTCTGTAACAAAAAATTTAAAAAAAAATTGCAGGAGCCTATTAATTTGTTTGATTCACTGGTTGACCCTACACAAAGTGGAGTACAATTTTATTCAACAAATGTTGGTTGAAAATGCTTTTTTATGGAAAATCTTTAAAAATCCGTAAATTCACTGCAGTGCAAGGTCAGGAATTACTGCTCGTTGACACTTTATCCTATTTCCATACTTTATCCCATTTCCAGCCTCTTTCCTGAGCCCCTTCCCGCCCCAGGTTCCCACCGCGCCTCGGCGCCTGGTCACACCCCTGGGCCCGCCCCCCGACGCCTGGCTCTCCCGCTCCCTCCGCCCACCCTGCAAGCTCCGCCCCCTGGAGTCCCGCAACCCAACTCCTGCCCTCCTTCCGTCGCTTTCCGCCCAACCCCGCCCCCATGGCCACCTTCGATTGGCTAAACTGGCGGAGCCGCGGCGGGGATGCAGCGAAGCCGCATTATGATTGGCTGAAAGGTAGGCCTCCCTCCTCGTGATTGGCTGCTAAGGGGAGCCAGCAAGTGTGGCTGAGCTCTCGGGTGTGTGGACGCCGCTTTGTTGCCGGAGGGGGGTGGCGGTGGAAGTTAAGGGGGTCGGGGGCCAGCGCGTGTGGCGGCCGCTGTAGTCACTTCGCCCGGCACCTTTTCGCCCAGGAATCAAGCCGACGGCAGCCATGAGCGGCGGCGTGTACGGGGGAGGTGAGTGAAGGCGGCCCGGCCAGAGAGCGCGCCTTTTTGGCGTGTGGGGTTTGTAACCGCCGCCCCCAGCCCTCCCCTACCCGGCGGTCCCTTCCGGTCTCCCCCTCTCGGGACCCCGGCCTCCCCGCCCCATCCCCGCCCCGCGCTCTGCCCGCCCCCGGAGCCCACCCGGCTCAGCGTGCGCCTCGGGCGCCGGAGGAGCTGGGCTTTTGGGGTCGCGCGTGCTGCTTCCAGCGGGCCGGCCCGCGGCGCCCCGGCTGGAGTGTCTCGCCTCGGGGTGGCAGCCCCGCGTGTGTCTGCAAAATTCGCCCGTGTGGGGCTTGCGTCTGCGTTTAACCTGGGAGGCCCCCAGCAGTTGGCGAGCGCGGACGGAGGGTGTCCGCAACGTCCCATAGAAGGCAGAGCGGCCGCGAGAGGTGGACCGAGGGGAGAGGGGGCGGCCGCCTCGGTCTGCGCCCTGCGCTCGCGCTGCCTCACGTTCCTCAGCAGCTCCTGCCCATTCTTGACCGTGGAGTCTGCGGAGTTACTCGTGGGAGGGCCTGGTTGGGATGAATCTAGAGACACATGCAATTTAAGGACGCCCGGAAGCTTTGCCTGAGGTCCCGGGCGTCTGTTCTCTGGCTTTTCTTGAGTAGACTGTGTTGTGGTACAAAGATTACCACGGGCTGTGGGCATCGTCAAACTTCTCAGCGCCTTGGCCTTGGGCAGTTTACTTTCCCCGACTTTGCGCCGCTCGCTCGTGGGATGGGAATTCCTTAGCCAACGAGGGTGGCTGCCAAGATGGACCGACATGAAGCTACACCTGCTGCTCCAATTGAAGTCCGTGGAGCGGCAATATCAGCATCACCTGCAAGCTGTTTAGAAAGAATCTCAAGGCCCACCCTCCGTTCTACAGAGTCAGGGCTTCCATTTTTGAAAGATGCCCCAGACAATTGGAGCACTCACTGTTGGATTCACATTTTGGGGTGTGTTTGAGTTAGAGACCCAAAAGACAAATCCGAAATACAGTCAGCCTTGAGTAACTGTGGGCTCCACATCTGTGGATCCCACTAACTGTGGACCAGAAGTATTCAGAAAAAAATTGCATCTGTATTGAACATGTGCAGATTTTGTTTCTTGTTATTCCCTAAAGTATAACAGCTGTTTACATAGTGTTTACATTGTACTAGGGATTATAAGTAACATAGAGAACACCTACTTAAAGTATCCAGTAGTCTGTGCCACAGGTTATAGGCAAATGCTACATCGGTTTATATAGCCGACTTGAGTATCCAAGGATTTTGGTGTATGGGGGTAGGGTCCTGTAACCAATCCCCTGCAAACACTGAGGGACTATGTGCTTGCTACTGCTACTGTTTTAGTAAGGATTCTCTTTCTGAAGAGGATGGCATTCCGCAGGTAAAGGGATAGGTAACTTTTCTAAGTTCTTAGTATTTTTGGTGGTGTAGTTTCAGAGTCTTCTCTGAGGCAGCATGCTGATCCTGTTGCCTCCTCCTTCCTATTTTGTGTCCTTGATTTTCTTATTTTTACTTTGGATCTTGTTAATTCACCTCTTCCCCATCTGAAGATTCAGTCTTGACTCCAGAGAAACTGAGTCTAGACTCTTAGGAGCTCCAGGTTCATTGAATCAAGGATCCGGAGGCTGTCCAGTATTCCTTACAAGGCATTGTTTAGTATGACTGGTAGGAATGGGATAATACTAATGCTAGCAGCTAGCATTTATTAGGTGCGTACTGGAGACCAAGAGTATTCCAAAGGTTTTATGTGCATTATTTTTAATCCATGCAGTAACTCCTATAATCTACAACCACCATGTAAGATGGTATTATTATCCCTGTGTTACTGAAGAAAATGATGTAAAGATAGGAAAGGTTAAAAATCAGCCCAAAGTCATAATTATCTAGGGAGTTGAGAGCAAAAATCTCTGAAATAAAGGGCATTTCAGCCAAGCCCTTCCCTACTCCTTTAAAAAAGCCATTTCTTTGGTTATTTCTCCGTGTGTCATGTTTCAGTTATACAACCATAGTATTACCATGTATGACTTAGGTGTTCAGAATAAAACCACTTCTTGCTAGCTTATTCAGAGGAGTGTAAGGATTATTCAGAAAGTTTATGGAAAATGGAGTTGAATGTTTATTTTAGTGTGAACATTTTTGTAATTTAATCAAGAAAGCTTATGAAAAAACATGGATTTCAAAAATTTTTGCACCAAAATACTTAGTTTTTAATTCATTTTCCATGAACTTTTTGAAGTGCTCTGATGTTTTAAAGTCTTTCATGTAGAAAGTACTTAGAATTCACAAAAGTAAGTATGATTTTGTGTTTATAGTGGATCATATTTTTCCAAGGAATTTAGTGTTAAAAGCAACCAAACCATTCACTTAAAAATGTTGAGTAATTGGGCCGGTGCTGTGGCATAGTGAGTAAAGCCACCGCCTGCAGTGCCGGCATCCCATGTGGGTGCCGGTTCGAGTCCTGGCTGCTCCATTTCTGATCCAGCTCTCTGCTGTGGCCTGGGAAAGCAGGAGCTTCTTCCAGGTTTCTGACATGGGTGCAGGGGCCCAAGGACTTGGGCCATCTTCTACTGCTTTCTCAGGCCATAGCAGAGAGCTGGATAGGAAGTGGAGCAGCCGCGTCTCGAACCGGCACCCATACGGGATGCCGGCGCTTCAGGACAAGGTGTTAACCCGCTGCACCACCGTGCTGGCCCCCTTTATAAATTTTAAAATTTATGCTTGCCTCTAATTCTAATAATTATTTCCAAGCAAATCTAAAACTGACCTTCAGCTTTAGGTATAATGCATGATTCATCTGGATTTCCATCCTTTCTAAGTAGTTTCTGGGCCTTCTTATTGCTCTTGCAATTATCTTCCATGGCACTTCTCTACTTTAAACTCCTTTGCATAACAAAAATAAATGTGTACTACCAGACCAACTTTGATAAATTGTTAGTTTCATCACTCTTGTACTATCCATCTCTCTCCATCCCCCCTACCCCGCCAATCTCTAACCTTAAGAATTTCTCAAAGTTGTCTTCCTTGTGAGTTGGCCACCAATCATGGGGCACTCTGATCCAAACAAAAATAAAACTACCTCCCCACCTCTTCCCAAAGCCATTTGCCTTCAAGATCACATTAGAATGTTTAAAGACCAGGCTAGAAAATTGCTATTCTGTTTTTGTTTTCTCAGAGAATTACATCACCTCCTAAACTTGGAAGCCATTTACTCTGGGGCAAAACAGAATCCTCAAGAACTACAAACTGCCCCCCTCCATTATTCTTTTAGTAGAAAAGGGATCCACCCTTGAGCTGAACATTGCATCCTAGGTTTTAAGCATCTATGCCTCTGTGGTTAAGCTATCAAGTCACTGGTCTTCCTTTACCACTCTAATATTGGTGCTTGATTTTTTTTTTAAACAGAACATGGTACAAGAATTAGATGTGTCTTCCATCCTTGAAACTAAAATTAACTATTACAAAATCCCAAGAACTAAGATCCCTACTCAAAATTCCACTGTATCCAGTTTGATATACAAATTAGGAAAATTAACTGATTTATTAGATTTTTTTCATTTCACAAAACAAATTTTTTTGAGTGCTTGGTATGTGCTAGGTATAGGCTGTGCTTTGAAGAAGCTCAGTTTTGAAAGGTGTGTCAGTTAGACCCCATATTTCATTGATTTTTAGTTGTTTATTTTCTCCTAAATTTAAGCAATTGAGGCTTTGAAATCAGCTGGGTGGAACCACTTGAATGTCGTTTTGTAGGTGACAAGAACTACTAAATTATTCACCCCCTTCTTTAAAACAACAACAACAAAACATTGAGAGTCTGAGAGACAGGAATAGAGAAACAAGGAGTGAGAGAGAAGATTCCCATCCACTGATTCACTCTCCAAATGCCCATAACGGCTGGGACAAGTCAGGTCAGAACGAGGAGCCAGAGACTCAATCCATGTCTCCCAAATGGGTGGCAGGAGCCCAATTACCTGAGCCATCACTTGCGCCTTATAAGGTTCACATGAGCGGTAAACTGGAATCCAGAGCTGGGGCTGAAGCCAGGACTGAAATACAGACACTCTGACTTGGGAGACTTAGGTCAGCCACTAGGCCAAAGCCATGTCCCTTCCCCCCTGTTTTCAGTGAAGGACTTATGTACCAATATCATCAATTATGCTTCTGGAAGATAAGAGTGCAGCAGTTTGAAATATGAGTTGAGAAAAAGATGGAAGCATTAAACCTGTTGGGAATTGAAGTTCCACGTTGAGATTAGAGCTTGATTGAAGGCAGCAGCAATGGCATTAAAGAGGAGGCCATCTGAGTAATATTTAGCAGAATATTTGGCAGAACTTGAAAGATGAAGATGTTCATAACAGCTCTCAGGTTTTTGCCTGTGGTTCCTTGGGTCACAAACTTAGGCAGTGCTGAGATTACATTAGGCAGGTGGAAAAAACTGTTGAATCTGAGGCCGCAGGAGACCTCATGTGGAATTGATGTTAATATACAGTAGAACGTTCTGCTTATGAATCTCTAACACTGGTTAGAGAATGAGAGATATTTGACATTGGAATTATCAGTATTTAGGTAGAAGTTGCAGGAGTAGATTACCCAGAAAAGGGTAAATAAGGGAAGAGTGTTTCCGTCATGAGGTTCCTGACCCTGAGTGTGCATTGATGGAACTGTTTATAATTGTGTCTTTTTATAGTCTAAGAACATCGTAAGAAGGAATTTGTTTCCTATGCTTTCTTTCTGTGTTAGTTTGCTAAGACTGCCATAACAAAGTACTACACTGTGGCTTACACAGTTTATTTTCCCACAATTCTGAAAGCTGGAGTCTGAGATCAGAGTGCAAGCAAAGGTGAGTTCTTCTGTGGCTTCTCCTTCGTTTGTAGATGACTGCCTCCTCCTCACACACATCTGTGTCATCTTCTCTCTGTACACATCTTTCAAATTTCCGGTCATACTCAATTAGGGCCCACCCTAATGATCTCCTTTGAACTGTATTTTTCAAAGAATTTATCAGTTATTCTGAAATACTGGGGATTAGGACTTTAGCATATGACTTTAAGGAGACACAATTCAGTTCTTACACTGTCAAAATGGTCCTTTGTGCAGAACAAAAGCTGCACCCTTGAGCATGTATTCAAATTTTGGGTGAACCAGGCAATTAGTTAATTTACTTTGGATTTTTCTTCACCCAGCATTCTGGTTAATCAGGGTGTTAAAGCTCATCCACTCATGTTCTTGCTATACTTTACTGTTTGTACTTGAGTTTAGGTGATGTGGTGAAAACCCATGAAGAACTCTTTTAAGAACTCCTTGTTTTGGATAACATGATAAATATAAGATAAAATAATTGGCAGCAGAGAATTTTATACATAATGGTTAATTACCTTGGGAAATCTAACATATGCATAAACTTCTTTTCAAATTAGAAGTTAGAATAAATGTCCTCTTGTTAAACAAAAAAATATTTTGCAAAGCTACTGTCTCAACTGAATATTTGCAAAATAATTATTGTATTCTCCTTATTTTGAATTAAATTTTAAAATATGTCCAGTGTACTAAAAATCTAAATATATATGTGTGTGTACCTAATAATTTTGTGCTTAGCACTGAGATTAAATAGATGTTATATTTTGCCATATTTTGCCTGTGATATTTTAAGAAATAAGATATTGGGGCAGATCTCCCTTTCTCTCCCTTCTTAGAAATAAGCCCTAAAACTGAAGTTTCCAGATCTCATGCATATTTTGATACTTTCTCTTCATGTGAACATAGCCATAATGAATTAAAGAATGTGTGTGTGTGTAATTAGCCTTTATAATTCTTTTGAAATTGATCCATGTTGATAGATGTAGATCTAGACCATTTGTTCTAACTACTGTATATATAGTAAACCACTGTGAGTAAACTATAGGTTGTCTGTTTCCCTATTGAGAGACTATTAGATTATTTCTGCCTTTTCCTGTGCCAGCAGTGTGACAATCATAATCATAGTAGCGGGTAACACTGTGTGTCAGGTACTATTCTATGTGCCTATATACATTAAACCATTTAACACATTTAGTGATTGCAGACTCTTATGAGATAGGAAATATTATACACATTTTATAAATTAGTAAACTGGGGCCGGCGCTGTGGTGCAGCGGGTTGACGCCCTGGCCTGAAGTGCCAGCATCCCATATGGGCACCAGTTCAAGACCCAGCTGCTCCACTTTCGATCCAGCTCTCTGCTATGGCCTGAGAAAGCAGTGGAAGATGGCCCAAGTCCTTGAGCCCCTGTACCCACATGGGAGACCTGGAAGAGGCTCCTGGCTCCTGGCTTTGGATCAGCGCAGCTCCGGCCATTGTGGCCAATTGGGGAGTGAACCAGCAAATGGAAGACCTCTCTCTCTCTGCCTCTCTCTGCCTCTCTCTGCCTCTCCTCTCTCTGTTTAACTCTGACTTTCAAATAAATAAATCTTTAAAAAAAATTAGTAAACTGAGTCACAGAGGTTAATAAATTGCCCAAGTTCACATAGCTAGAGAACATTCTTGTGTCTGTTCTTGTGACATGTGACAGTTTCTCAGATTTTTTTTTAACACTCACCCTGGAACACTTTTTTTTAAAAGAATTATTTTTATTTGAAAGAGTTACAGAGCGAGATAGAGAGATATCTTCCATTCTATTGGTTCACTCCTCAAATGACTGCAACAGCTAGAGCTGAGCTGATCAGGAGCCAGGAGCTTCTGGGTCTCCCACATAGGTGCAGGGGCCCAAGGACTTGGGCCATCTGCTGCTGCTATCCCAGGCCATAGCAGAGAGCATGGAAGAGGAGCAGTTGAGACTCAAACCGCTGCCCTTATGGGATGCCTGTGCTGCAGGCTGGGGCTTTAACCTGCTGTCCCACAGCACCGGCCCCTCAAATAGATTTAAGTATAACCACTAAGTATGTAGTTTCTTAACTTTAGTGGATATAACTTAATAACATATAGTGTTTTACCAGTTTATAGCTTATACTAGCAAATGTGTAAGAGCTCCTGTTTCCCTTGAGTCCTTGATAGTACTGGGTCTTACCAGACTTAATAATTTTTGCCAATTTAATGAGGTAAATAATATTTATTATTTTTAAATACTTGAATCCTTTGAAAAGTCAGGACCTGAAAACCAAGGTGCTTTGTTTTAGGAGTCCTATTTTGGATGAAGTTTTTAAAAAGTATAATTAGAAGCTTTTCTCTGAATTTGGAAATGGACAAATAGTTGCCAGCTTTCTTCTTCAGCATTAAACTTTATCTCCTAATAATCTTTGAAATATGCAGACTTTGATAATACTTTCATTTTGATGATTTTTTTTGGCTATTACATTAAACTCTTTATTCTCCAAGTCCCTATTTTTCCTGGAGTTTCCTGATTACATGAAGTACAATTTCTGTTAATTTATGATAAATTGATACTTACATGAACTTCACTCCTTCCCTTTGGGCCACTATCTCTACTTTCTACCATTTCGCCTCTGTGAAGACTGACACTTAGAGTCCAGGTCATTGAGCCCTCTTGGCCTTTGGCTTTTCCGTGGATGTAGCCAGTGGTAGAGTAGTAATTATTAATGAGACCCCCTTTTGTGTTCAGAAGTAACTGCAGCCCGCAACTGATGCTCACAGCTGCTGACAGGTTAGCCCATCTTCTAGAACCTTTTCACCAGGTTCTGGTAGCAGTTCCTTCTCTTTGAACCTCTGCTAATACACAACGTATAAATTGTTATATTTTAAGTAAATGAATCTTTGAGATGCATTTAAAACTAGGTTCAAACTAATACTATTGTAATTTTTCATAGAGCTTTTACATATATTCTCCCTTTAAGCTCATTAAGTATTCCTTTAATTTTCATGATATGTGTAAGTTGTTAATGTTAATTATTTTTAATCTTCTCAGATGAAGTTGGCGCACTTGTTTTTGACATTGGGTCCTATACTGTGAGAGCTGGTTATGCTGGTGAAGATTGCCCCAAGGTAATGTAATATTAGAGTCAAGTGAGTATTTGTATAAGGGCCATTTGTGTAGCATTAAATTTATGAAGATATTTGATTCAACACAAAATGGTTAAAGACATTAGCTGAAAAAAAACTTGGCTCCTTGATAAAAGCTGGTGAAACTTGCATATCATGTTTTTGGCCCTTACAGGTGGATTTCCCAACGGCTATTGGTATGGTGATGGAAAGAGATGATGGAAGCACATTGATGGAAATAGACGGTGATAAAGGCAAACAAGGCGGGCCCACCTACTACATAGATACCAATGCCCTACGTGTTCCCAGGGAGAATATGGAGGCCATTTCACCACTAAAAAATGGGATGGGTATGATATTTTTTTCATGGATTTGGTCAGAAAGTACAGGAAACATTCTAGACTTAGAGGAGTGGCTTCTTGTAAGTTGAACATAGTCTTTTGTGGAGGAAGTATTTAGAGTATTCTATAAAATGATGTTCTAGATATGGAAAACAAAGATGCATAACAAATGTTCCTTTTCCTCAATAAACTCTTACTTGGGAGGTGATACAGTTGTAAACATACAAATATAGTTCCCACAGGATAAGTGCTGTAATATAGTTATGTTCATTATGAAATGGGAGCAAAGGAGAGGAATCTAACTTTGTATCACTGGGGAGTCAGGGATAACTTGTAACTGTGCTGTAACTTGTAACTTATGCTGAATCTTGATCAGTGAATAAGAATTAGCCTAGCTGATGAGATTGGATAAAGCAGAGGAACCATCACAAATGAAGTTGTGAAACAAACTGTTAAGAAATGTTAAACAGTTAAGTATGACTGTAATATTGAGAGCGCTGTGGTCAATAGCAGGAAAGGTAGGCAGAGAAGAATCACAGAAGGACTTGGAGAGGTGAAAGTTGTGTGCAGCGAGTTAAGGGATGCCTGAATTCCAATATGGAGAGCCTGCTTCAAGTCCTGGCTACTCCACTTTTTTTTTTTTTTAAAGATTTTATTTATTTGAGAGGTAGAGTTACAGACAGTGAGAGGGAGAGAGAGAGAGAGAGAAAGGCCTTCCTTCTATTGGTTCACTCCCCAGATGGCCACAATGACTTGGAGCTGTGCTGATCTGAAGTCAGGAGCTGGGCGCTTCCTCCCGGTCTCCCATGTGGGTGCAGGGGCCCAAATGCATGTGCCATCCTCCACTGCTTTCCCAGGGCACAGCAGAGAGCTGGATTGGAAGAGGGGCAGCCGGGACTAGAACTGGTGCCCACATGGCATGCCGGTGCCGCAGGTGGAGGATTAATCTGTGCCACGGTGCTTCTGATCCAGCTTCTTGCTAATGCACCTGGGGAGCAGTGGTTGAAGGCTAATACTTGGGTTTCTGCCACCCACATGGGAAACCTGGATGGAGCTCTTGGCTCTTGGCTCTTGGCTTTAGCATGTTATCTGTTGCAGATTATTTGAGGAAATGAACCAGTAGATGGAAGGTCTCTGTCTCTTCCTCTTTTACTTTGTCTTTCAAATAATCTCTCTCTTTTAATTTCTTGTAAACCATCACAAGGGTCCATTAAGCCAGTAACTGAAGGGTAACCCTAGAAGGGTAACCCAGAAATGTGATATGCTCATGTTTGCCAGTTGGGAAGATTATTCTGAGTGATATTTAGGCTAAATTAGAGGGAGACACTAGACTAGAGACGGGAAAGTCAGTAAGGGAGATGAAAGCCCAAATGAGAAATGAAGTCCTGGTTGCTCCACCTCCACTCCAGCTCCCTGCTGATGGCCTAAGTTCTCAGGCCCCTGTACCCACAGGAGAGACCCAGAAGAAGCTACTTGCTTCGGCTTGGTCCAGCCACAGCCGATGCGGCCATCTGGGGAGTGAACTGGAAGAAGGAAGACCTCTCTGCCTCTCCTTCTCTCTCTGTAACTCTGACTTTCAAATAAATAAAAGTAAATCTTTAAAAAAGTGGATTATATTTATTAAAATATTAATTGCTAAGTCAAAGAATCACTCTCAAAAGATACTTTATTCATCTTCAGCCAAGCATTTGTTTTCAAGCTCTTGCTCTTATATTCTAGTTGAAGACTGGGATAGTTTCCAGGCTATTTTGGACCATACCTATAAAATGCATGTCAAATCAGAAGCCAGCCTGCATCCTGTTCTCATGTCAGAAGCTCCGGTGAGACAAACACTTCCGTGTTTCTTTAGTTGTTCTTTTTTCCTTTAGTTTTCAGCTCATTTGAAGAATATTTACCTTTTTCCACAAAGAAGTTTAAAAAGTTATATTTTGAGTTTGAAAATTAGGGAAGGGGGAATTAATTTCTAACTACTATCATAACTTTTATTATTTCAGTAAAAGATTCAGAGAACTATAATACACAATAATGGGTCCTAGTGGTTATCTGCATTTCCATGGATTTAAAATTTATTTTCTTGAACTGCCTCCCATTCTGGATTATGCCCCAAGGTCATTGTAAATCTGCTTTTATACTCAAGCTCCAAGAAGTCAGATGCTTAACAAGGGCCGACTGTTTCTATGAAGTCTCTTGTGAAATACATTTAGTACCTAGCCAGAAAGGGCCCAGAAGGCTAGCATAATAACCAGCATGATCAATATCTTTTTTTTTTTTTTTTTTTTGACAGGCAGAGTGGACAGTGAGAGGGAGAGACAGAGAGAAAGGTCTTCCTTTGCCGTTGGTTCACCCTCCAATGGCTGCCGCGGCCGGCGCGCTGCGGCCAGTGCATTGCACTGATCCGAAGCCAGGAGCCAGGTACTTCTCCTGGTCTCCCATGTAGGTGCAGGGCCCAAGCACTTGGGCCATCCTCCACTGCACTCCCTGGCCACAGCAGAGAGCTGGCCTGGAAGAGGGGCAACCGGGACAGAATCTGGCGCCCCAACCGGGACTAGAACCCTGTGTTCCGGCACCGCAAGGCGGATGATTAGCCTATTGAGCCACAGCGCCAGCCCCATGATCAATATCTTGTTGCTGTTTCTAATTATAGTTTCTTTGGGAGCACCAACTATAAAAGGGAGAGTTTGGTGTTTTAAAATTAATATTTTATTTTGATTACCAGATATGCTCTTAAGATTTAATAATACTTTATGTTTCTGAGAATCCTGATTTCCTTGTATTTTTGAAAAGCTTATACTTTCTGGAATTCATAGTAGTTTTACTAATTATAATAAATTTAATTTATATCTGATTTGTCATACTTGTTTACAACAAATGTAGATATTATAAAAGGTCATTTACTATGCTTCATTGTTTTTAAATTTTTGCTAACATACTACTATAATGTAGCTTGAGGTAAGTCAGCATTTTAATTCTTAATAAGTAATTTGCATTTCTTTATTTTTTTTCAGTGGAATACTAGAGCAAAGAGAGAGAAATTAACAGAGTTAATGTTTGAACACTACAACATTCCTGCATTCTTCCTTTGTAAAACTGCAGTTCTGACAGCGTATCCTTGAAAGAGTAGTACTCAGCTTTTCTCTAGAAGAATATATGCTGCTGCCAAAGATACAAGACAGTCCTGGCAGAAGACGTGAGCCAATTCTCACTCATTCGGAAGTTGCTTTTTTCTCTATACCTTTCCTTTTTAGCTGTCTGACTCATATTGAAACTGATGATATACCAGAAGATGTGAGAAGAAAATAGGAAAGTGACATTCAGATCATATTTGCTTTTTTTTTTAAAGATTTATTTATTTATTTGAAAGTCAGAGTTACACAGAGAGAGGAGAGGCAGAGAGAGAAGTCTTCCATCCAATTGTTCATTCCTCAATTGGCCGAAATGGCTGGAGCTGCGCCGATCCGGAGCCAGGAGCCAGGAGCTTCTTCCAGATCTCCCACATGGGTGCAGGGGCCCAAGGACTTGAGCCATCTTCTACTGCTATCCCAGGCCATAGCAGAGAGCTGGATTGGAAGTAGAGTAGCCAGGTCTTGAACCGGTGCCCATATGGGATGCTGGCACTTCAGGCCAGGGCGTTAACTCGCTGTGCCACAGCGCCGGCCCTGAGATCATATTTGTCAACTTGTGTGTGTGTGTGTTTTTTAATAAAGGGAGTGTGGCTGTACAACAGTGTTTTAGCATATTAGCTAAAATGAATGCAAAGATTGCCATTTCCTCTCTCACTTCTAGTATCAAACAAAATTGGAATTTGGCTATAAATTCATTTGAGATTTAAGCACTCATCAGAAAGTTACTGCAAACACTTTAAAGATAAGGAAATATTATGTCTTGAATGCAAAGAATTTGTAATTTAAATATTCTTCTTAAAAGCTAAGTACTGGGCCGGCGCCGTGGCTCAATAGGCTAATCCTCCACCTTGCGGCGCCGGCACACCGGGTTCTAGTCCCGGTTGGGGCGCCGGATTCTGTCCCGGTTGCCCCTCTTCCAGGCCAGCTCTCTGCTATGGCCAGGGAGTGCAGTGGAGGATGGCCCAGGTGCTTGGGCCCTGCACCCCATGGGAGACCAGGAAAAGCACCTGGCTCCTGGCTCCTGCCAGGATCAGCGCGGTGCGCCGGCTGCAGCGGCGGCCATTGGAGGGTGAACCAACGGCAAAGGAAGACCTTTCTCTCTCTGTCTCTCTCTCTCTCACTGTCCACTCTGCCTGTCAAAAAAAAAAAAAAAAAAAGCTAAGTACTGTAACAGATTTAAATAGTACTTCAAAACATTGGCAAAATTCTTAAAGAAGTACTTGATTAATCTGAATTTTTTGTATAGTAATTGTGATAGTTCAGAGGAAGAATATAATAGCTTGACAGTCCTTTATAAAGATAATAGGATACAGTCATTTGAAGTAGAAGAAAGAGCTCTGCACTTAAGGATCCACTGTTTACAGAAGTGTGGTCCTGAAACATGAGATTAATGTTTTACTCATATAACCTGTATACCTCCCTGGCTTGCTATCATATTCAAGTAAGTTTTTGTATACATTTGAGAATCACTGTGTTAACAGTTATCTAACACTTTTATGTAGTGCTGTATCTCTGAGATGGCTTTAGCAAAAGTGCAAGTACTCTCTTGACTCTTCTCCCATGGGCTCCTATTCTCACCCGTGTCATCCCCAGTTTACAGTTGGATGTCCCAGGAATAGCTTAGGTGGTCCCTCCTTTATACCCCCTGCCCCAGGGTATTCTAGACATTTTACAACTTTAGTGATCTGTTTGACTAAATGAGATATCCTTCAGGGCAGACAGTTTCTGTTCACCTTTATGTGTACTCTGTGCTTAAGGAATCTGTGCAACAGACTAAATAGGCACATAATAATTATTCAATAAGTACTTGAAGAAATGAATGCCCCTGGTCCTAAACATGAGTTTAGGGTGTTCATGTGATATAGGCCTTCAGCAACACAGCTGTAGAAATGGGATCTTGTCGTATTCACTGGATATCCAATACACCTGGAGTAGCTCTTCTACCCCAGTGAGTTGGAAGAAGTGGGAATTGCCACTCAACTGCCAAACTACTGAAATGATTCCTCAGTGCTACTTAAGAATGGGTGTAGTCCCTGGCTCAAATATCACACATCCTACTCGTTCTTACCAAGTTGCTATACATTTTGTTAAAGAAATGCTTTTCAATTTGTTTAAGCTCTTTTATCAAACTCAAGAGATTTTGGATGATTGTATTCATTTTTGCAAGCTTGATAGATGTCTGGGAGAAAGATTTCCCTGAGTTCCTCCCACCATCATTCTAGAAGTATTGCCGCCTGTCATTTGTTTTTAAGCTGGAGCTATTATTTGATACTAGATTTTATTCCTAGATTTACTTGAACATATGTTAAACTGTAATACATGTTTTAAAAATGGCTTCTGAAATACAAGCCTTGTCCTTAGGAACTTTGATACTTTCTTTTCCTTAATACTTTAAACTAGATTTGCTAATGGTCGATCTACTGGTCTGATTTTGGACAGTGGAGCCACTCATACCACTGCAATTCCAGTGCACGATGGCTATGTCCTTCAGCAAGGTAAATATGTTTAACTGGGTACGTTCAGAAGATTTTAGATGTCAGGAGGGCACTAATGAATATTAAAGTATGTCAGTTTCCATATAATGTCTTTTTTATATGAGCTTTAAAAAGTCTTCAGTATATATATTTGAAACTGTTGCATAGCTTTATGTATACTTTAAAGATTTATTTATTTATATTTATTTGAAATTCAGAGTGACAGGTGGGGGGAGACAGATCTTCCATCCACTAGTTAACTCCCCAAAAGACAACAGCTGGGGCTGGGCCAAGCCAAAGGCAGGAGCCTGGAACTTTATCCAGGTGTCCTATATGAGTGGCGGGTTTCCAGGTACTTGAGACATCAAACGCTGCTTTCCCAGGTGCATTAGCAGGAAGCTGGATTGGAAGTGGAGCAGCTGAGATTTGAACCAGCACTGTGATATGGGCTGCTGGTGTCTCAGGCAGCAGCTTAACCACTGAACCACAAAGTTGGTCCCATTTATGTATACTTTAAAGAATAGTTCAGTTAATTCTACTTGAAAAAAAATTGTTCATGTAGAAACATACAGAGGAAGTTTTTCCCAAGGAGTTAGTACTTAATACCTCTTCGATCTCACAGGCATTGTGAAATCTCCTCTTGCTGGAGACTTTATTACTATGCAGTGCAGAGAACTCTTCCAGGAAATGAATATAGAATTGATTCCTCCATATATGATTGCATCAAAAGTAAGTAATAATTGTGGAATTTATCTCCAGCTCCCCATCCCTGTGTTGTGAACTCTGTTAACCTAGCACATCTTGGTATTCCCAGGAAGCTGTTCGTGAAGGATCTCCAGCAAACTGGAAAAGAAAAGAGAAGTTGCCACAGGTTACAAGGTCATGGCACAATTACATGTGTAATGTAAGTAATGTTAAATTTCTTTATAAAAGTGTTACAAGCTGAAATCCTTGAGTAGAATATGGGCACATTATATTTTTAATGATGGGGCCGGTGCAGTGGCACACTAGGTGAATCCTCCGCCTTCGGTGCCGGCATCCCCTATGGGTGTTGGTTATTGTCCCGGTTGTTCCTCTTTGAGTCCAGCTCTGCTGTGGCCTGGGAAAGCAGTAGAGGATGGCCCAGGAGGAGGCTCCTGGCTTCGGATTGGCACAGCGCCAACAGTTGTGGCCATTTGAGGAGTAAACCAATGGAAGGAAGACCTTTCTCTCTGTCTCTCTCACTGTCTGTAACTCTACCTGTCAAATAAATAAATAAAATCTTTTAAAAAATATTTTAATGATAGTTACAAACAAAAGTAATAGTTTTTCAGAGATGGGGGTGTACTTTCATATTTTTGAAACATCTCTACAAACTACTACATTTTCATACAAATTAATACGTTGAGACCTGGAGGGAATTTTGGTTGTAGGGTAGAAGGAAGCATTATGTTATTCTTCACACATTTTGTCTAAGAAAATGGTTTTAATTTTAGTAAACACTGGCTACACTGGCTACTCATGAAGAACAGAGGTTTATTTTGGCTTATGGTTTTGGAAGTTCACAGTCTAAGGTCAGTTAGGCCCCATTGCTTCAGCCTTCTGGAAAGGGTGGTGGGTGGTAATGGCAGAGGGTTTGTGGAGGAATGATCACATGGAGAGCCAGGAAGCAGAGTGTTGAGCTAGGCCCAACTCAGGCTTATATAACTAGCCTCCCCAGAACTGCTTTCTGAAGGCAAGCCCTCAATGATCTAAGGTTCTCCCTCCCACTAGGCCTAGCTCCTGAATTCCATAATTGGATTGTTTCTACCCTTACTGCCATTAACTTACAATTTTTGCAGTTTAAACATCTGCATGATTTGGAAGCCAATCATGTTCAAACTATAAGCTGCCAGTATGACTCAGTTATGTTGTTTCCCAACAGTAGTCAGCCATACCAAAAGTGTGTGTTACTGTTCTTATCAAAGAACTGATGGAAGCTTCTCTTTACTAAAATTCTCTGAACATGTGTCTTGCTGACAGGAGAGACGTTAGTAAAACAGTTTCTCCGGGCTGATGGTATGGCACAGCAGGTTAAAACCTCCACCTGCAGTGGGCATCTCATGTGGGTGCCGATTCAAGTTCTGGCTGTTCCACTTTCAATCCAGCTCCCTGCTAATGGGCCATCCTCTGCTGCTTTCCCAAGCACAAGTCCTTGGGTCCCTGCACCCATGTGGGAGACCTGGAAGAAGCTCCTGGCTTTGGATTGGCCCAGCTCCTGCCGTTGTTGGCCATTTCAGGAGTGAACCAGAGGAAGGAAAACCTTTCTGTCTCCCTCTCTCTGCCTGTATACTCTACCGCTCATGTAAATAAATAAAATCTTAAAAATAAATAAATAAAAATGTTTAAATCCACTATAGTTTTTTTGTAAGACATGTTTTCCACTGAGAATGATATCTGAGTTTTTTGTATCATATTTTTTTCAAGTATTAGTACAGGATAGATTGCATGATCAATAATTTTCTTTAGATACTTTTCCTTAGCAACCCAGAATTCATGTATTTCACAATAAATTTTTATTTTTTAAAGATTTATTTATTTGAAAGAGTTACACAGAGAGAGAGGAGAGGCAGAGAGAGAGAGGGGTCTTCCATCCATTGGGTCACTCCCCACATGGCCACAACGGCTGGAGCTGCACCGATCTGAAGCCAGGAGCCAGGAGCTTCTTCCAGGTCTCCCATGCGGATTCAGGGGCCCAAGGACTTGAGCCATCTTCTACTGCTATCCCAGGCCATAGCAGAGAGCTGGATTGGAAGAGGAGCAGCCAGGACTAGAACCGGCGCCCATATGTGATGCCGGTGCTTCCGGCCAGAGCTTGAACCCACTGTACCACAGCACTGGCCCTCACAACAAATTTTTAAACTGCTTCATACTATGTGTAATTTTTAAAAGTTGCATAAGATATAATTCTGTATGTATATGTATGTACAATTAAGTAATGAAATCCTACTTATTTTTTAAAGATTTATTCACTTATTGGAATGGTAGAGTTACACAAAGAGAGAAGGAGAGATGGAGAGATCTTCCATCCATGGGTTCACTCCCTAAATGGCTGCAATAGCCAGAGGCTGTGTTGAGCTGAAGCCAGGAGCCAGCATGGGGGTGCTGGACCCAAGCACTTGGGTCATCTTCCCCTATTTTCCCAGGCGCATTAGCAGGGAGCCAGATCAGAAGTGAAGCAGCTGGCTCTGGAACCAGTGCCCATATGGAATGTCAGCACAGCAGGCTGTGGCTTAACCCTCTGTGCCACAGCGCCAGTCCCAAAAGCTTATTTCTAAATTCAAACTTATTGGAAAAAATGATGTTTGGGAACTCATTTTGTTATATGGAAATATGGTACAAGAGTTTCTACTTGTTACCTCTTATTTTTCTATAACTGTTGTAACTTTATATAATTTGACAGCTAATGTAAATGTTTAGAATTGGGTTTTTTGATACTCAGAGTCTTCGTGGAGATTTAATATTCTTGAAAGTTACCCATCCAGAAATGTAGTCGTTTCATTCAGAAAAGTACTTGAAATATAATGTTACAGAAGTGTAGATGGTAAAGATATATCTCAAACTTACTTCTTATATGTTTTTTTTTTCATCCATAGTGTGTTATCCAGGATTTTCAGGCTTCAGTACTTCAAGTGTCAGATTCAACTTATGACGAACAGTATGTTTTATTTAAACTATGCTTCTTCATAAGTGAGGAAATGATTTGCTTATATAAAAAATTATAGAATGTATTTAATTGGTATAAAGATATAAAGTTATGCCAAAATGTATTGATTAACATTTTTTAAATATTCTCATTCTGACTTATTATAAGTTGGTAATTCCTTAGTAGTTTATAATTTTGGAGAGGATTGTTCTTGCCTTTAGTGTAATAAATATTGTTTAATATGTTTTCAGAGTCGCTGCACAGATGCCAACCGTTCATTACGAGTTCCCCAATGGCTACAACTGTGATTTTGGTGCCGAACGGCTAAAGATTCCTGAAGGATTATTTGACCCTTCCAATGTGAAAGTATGAAAGTTTCTTCATAATTAGCCTAGATTTTTCTTTATATGTAAACAGCTTGTATAGTTATAAAGTATAAATAAGACTGACTTTTTGGATATGTTTTACTGTACAAAGTTCTTCCATGTGACTGCTTATTTTCTTTTCTTGTAGGGGTTATCAGGAAATACAATGTTGGGAGTCAGTCATGTTGTTACTACAAGTGTTGGAATGTGTGATATTGATATCAGACCAGTAAGTACCCATCTCCTATTATGCTGTAAAAATGTCTTTTAGGGTAGCAGAATGTCCCAAAAATCACTGTTAGGGTGGCAGCTTTGGCCATTGACTTTGAAGTTCATTTTATAACAGGACTGTTTATGTAAAAAGATGAAGTACTACAAAAGGAAAAATGCAAAACTCTAGAGTTGTAGTGTCTGATGTGGTGGCTAATGGCTGCATGGATCAATGTGAATTAAAAGAAAAATTTAGGGGCTGGCACTGTGTAGTGGATAAAGCTGCCTCCTGCAGTGCCGGCATCCCATATGGGTGCTGGTTCGAATGTGGCTGCTCCACTTCCATCCAGCTCTCTGCTGTGGCCTGGGAAAGCAGTGGAGGGTGGCCCAAGTCCTTGGGCCCCTGCACCCATGTGGGAGACCTGGAAGAAGCTCCAGGCTCCTGGCTTTGGATCGTCCCAGCTCCAGCCATTGTGGCCTTATGGGGAGTGAATCAGTGGATAGAAAATCTCTGTCTCTCTCTCTTTCTCTCTGCCTCTGTCCCTGTAACTGCCTTTGAAATAAATAAATAAATCTTTAAAAAGAGAAGTTTGAAAATTGAGGTCTTCAGTTGTACCAGCCTCATAAATATAGCAAGAGCTGTTACAGTGGACAGTGTAGATAATGGAGCATTTCCTTCATCACAGGAAGGTGTATGGTTTTAAATTAGCTTTCACATGGGGTTTATTTTAGGTGGTGTTCAAAATTTTTCTGTTTCGGCAAGTTTTAAACTCTTGTCAAGTTTTATATACTATATTCATTATTAGATGGATTATATCTTACTTAAACCCTAGGTTCCAACTTATAACCCACAGCCTTGATTTTCTTTGAGTTAATTTGCTTTGAGCATGGTGCTAATAGCATTGGATGTTTGAAAACCATGTTATTCCAAAGACTTTTGATTGACTGTGCAAACCATTCTTTATTTCAACTAGTGACTTAACTGGGTATGTGCTGCTTCTAGGATAATAAATTTGAAATTTTTTAGTGCAAGTTCAAGGCCACTTTGGAAGAAAATTGAAGTAAATTTATTGCAAGAGAGTGATAACTTCCTATTTTTGGTGGAAATTTTTTCTTTTAATTAAACTAACATTAATTGCCGAGGAGATATTTTTCCATTTTATTTCAACATTTAGGTGATTTAGTGCAGGCTTTTGGCTTATTAACCCTTGAGACACCCACATCCCATATCAGAGTGCCTGGGTTTGATGCCCAGTTCCACAATTCCTGCTAAAGTGCACCTTGGGAGATAGCAAGTGATGGCTCAGTGGTTGGGTCCCTGCCACTCACCTGGGAGACCAAGATTGAATTCTCAGCTCTTAGTTTCAGCCCAGCCCAACACAGGCTGTTTTGGCATTTGCGGAGTGAACTAGCAGATGGGAGTACTCTTTCTCACTCTCCTTACTCTTCTCTCTCTTACTATCTCTTTCAAATAAATAAATTAAAAAAAAATTTTTAATTTAGGTAATTTTGACATTTGGAATGAGTTTTTGAAATAGGAACTTAGCTGCCAGAAGAGAAGATTGACATTTAACTTTCCTATGCATATATGCAAATTAGAAGTAAATATACTTATAAATAGAAATTTATACTTGAGAAAGCCTCAGCTTTTTTTTGAAAAAGCATACTGTGTGATTCTGATCCACACCCCTGCAAAAGAGAAGCATAGCGATCATTTTGGCCAGGAATATTTTCAGGGTATATTATTGTCCATCATGATCATAAAATAATCTTCTTGTATAATTTTTATTTATTTAAATTTGAGAGGCAGAAGATAGATCCCCATCTGCTGGTTTGCTCCCAAATGCCTGCAATGGGAAGGGCAGAGTAGGGTTGAATCTGGGAGTTGGAAATTCAGTCCAGGTCTCCCACACTGGGTGGCAGGAACCCCAGCTACCTGAGACATCACCACTGCTTCCAAGGGTCTACATTACTGGGAAGCCAGAACTGGGCTTTGAACTCAGATACTCTGAAGTGGGATGCAGGCATCTTAACTGCAAGGCTAAAATACCTGCCCCTTGTCTGATTTTAAGTACTTCCAAGTGAGCATTCTAGGGTGAAGTTATTGTAAAATGTTCCTCTAGTTAAATATCAGCTATCTGCCAGAAAATTAGGATTTTTAGAATAATTGTGTTAAATGAATGATTCTTAAACTTTATTAGAATTATCTGGGGAGTTTCAAGCAATAAACAAAAACCTCTCCTGGATCTCATCCCTGGAGATTTTTACTTAATTTTTCTCATTGATATATCTTTTTCAATTTGTTTATTTGAATGGTAGAGATACAGAGAAGGAGAGAGAGAGGGAGAGAGATCTTCCATCTGCTAGTTCACTTCTCAGATGGCCATAATGATTATGGCTGTGCCAGGCCGAAGCCAGGAGCTTCTTCCATGTCTCCCACATGGGTGCAGGGGCCCAAGGACTTCAGCCATCTTCTGCTGCTTTCCTAGGCACATTAGCAGGGAGCCGGATCACAAGTGGAGCAGCCGAGACTCGAACCAGTGCCTGTGCCCTGCAGGTGGAGGCTTAAGCTTCTATGCCACAGCGCTGGCCCCAGCGTTGATATTTTAAAAGCTGTCCAAGATGGGTTGAACATTTGGCCTAGTGGTCAACATGTCAGATAGGATGCTTGCATACCCTAATGAAATAATAAGGTCTGTTCCTGTCTCCAGCTCCTAATTCCATCTTCTTGCTAATTCAGACCCTGATAGATAGCAGTGATAACTCAAATAGTTGGATTCCTGCCATCCACATGGGAGACCTGGATTGATTTCCTAGCTCCCAGCTTTGGCCCAGCCCAGTCCTAGCCATTGCAGGCAAATGGGAAGTGGAAAGAACACATAGGAACTCACTCTTTATGTCTCTCTTGCTCTCCCACTTCCCCTCTCAAATAAAGATAAAAATTATAAATAAATAAAAGCTTGCCAAGTTGAATGGGTAGCCAAGATTGAGAACCACTGTACTAAACTACTAGGTCTATGTATATAGAAGTAAAAAAATTTCACTGTTGCATGCATTTGGGAGTGCCAGCAGATGGGAGTTCTCTCTCCATCTCTCTGTCCCTGTCTCTTTGCCTTTCAAGTAAATAAAACAATTTAAGAAGTAAAACATTTTCAAAAGAAAAAGAAAATTATTAGTAAAGAACAGTTTTATTGGTGGTTTTATTTAGCACTGTTGAAAACCATTGGAACTAATTTGTTTTTCTTGTTTTTATTCTAGGGTCTCTATGGCAGCGTGATAGTGGCAGGAGGAAACACACTAATACAGAGTTTCACTGATAGGTTGAATAGGGAGCTTTCTCAGAAAACTCCCCCAGTAAGTTCTGTTGGCTCTTTAGTGATATTCTTCATCAAATGCCTTCACCAGTGGTATAGTTTTACAGATAAGCATTCTTTTCTCAGTAGATAGATTTTTTGTGTGTGTTTTGTGTAGAATTACTTAAATTTGGGTAATATTTTTTATTATTAATCAGATTTCTTTAGATGACAGCTATTGGTTACCCTTACATGATGTGAGTTTTATTTTGTTCATTAATTGTATACTTAAATGCCTATTATCTGCTTGACAGTAGGAATATAAAATATCCTGCACACTGAGGGCTAGGCAGGTTAGCCCTGTAAAAGCTGACAGCTGTAATGCTGAGTGCTTCAGCATGTCATGAGCCAGGTGTATCTTGTCACTCAGAAGCAAATACTTAATTCTCAGGACTATCAGGAAGGCATCATGAATGGGTTAACTGGCTGGACAGCAGGGTAGAGGAAATTGCACGTGCAGAAGTGTGATGGGAATAGTGCGTGTTCCAGTAATTCCAAGTAGTCTGCTTGTAGTCTGTGCAGACACAGGGAAAGCAGTATGGCTGGAAAGATGGCTGATGTGTAAGGCACTTCAAACAGCTTCTGGAGAATGGAATTAGAAGAACTTATTTTTGGTGCAAAAACAGATTGAAATCCACACATGCCATGAATCTTCAAAAAGTTCATGAAAAATGCATACTGGATTTTTAAAAAACTTCCTGGATTTTAAAACATTTTTTCATCATAAATAAGCTTACCTTTTAATCTCATTTAAGGACCTTTATATTAGTGCTGTCCTAATGAAGTACTACAAATTGGTGGTTTAAAAAACAGCAGAAATAATTGTCTCACAGTTCTGGACCATACTGTCTCTGAAATCTATGTGGAGAATACTCCTTCCCTCTTTGTACCATTTGGTGGTTTGCAGCAATCCTTGGCTTCAGTTGTGGTATGTCTGTTAAGGACATTAGTCATATAGGATTGGGGGACCACCTTACTCCTGTGTGACCTCATCTTATATCTTAATTACATCTGCAAAGATCCTCTTCACAGATTAGGTCACATTCACAGGTACCAGCCAGGGATGAAGACTTTATCTTTCAGAGGGACAATTAAACTCATAGCAGAGGAGTAGAGGTTATGTCTAATTAAGGAGTACTTCAGATTTTTTTCAAAGGTAACAGCAAACTTATAGGGTAAAATCTGGCAGAGGATTGATGAGGTCATATGTATGTTTTAAAAGGATCACTGGGTATGTCATGGTAACTTTTAAAAGGAGAACCTGATTTGAAGAAATCATTTACATAGAATAGCAGTCATGTTGAAATTTTAAGACTTCTTTCAAGGGAGTTTTTGTAAGGTATTCTTCACCAAATATTACATTTTTAAAATCTTAATAGGAGTTACATATACCCTAAAATATTTAATAATCTTTTACTTTCTCATATAAAGGACTATTTTACCGTAAGCCACATATTTATAAAAATTGAAAGTGGTGTGTGAGTATTGATACAATATTGACATTTGCTTCATATTTACTATATTCTTGGAGATACTGTCTGATCTAAAGCACCCCTCAATTACAGTACCAATCATTGGATTTCATAAAAGTCTCTGAATAATGAGTATAGACATGGGTGATCTAAGGTTTATAAAGACCACTTAGAAACTCTGTCCTTTCGGAAGTAATTAAAAATCAGTTAAATGGGAAAAGAATTTGATTGTGATATTGATCTTTTATCCTCTTCAGAAACCCATGTTCACCCCTCCTGCCTTCAGCAACCCTACATATCCCATACTTTAATAAACCCTGTCACACATTTTGCTGCGAATACGACTTTAACTGTGTTTATATATATAGTAATTGGAAGGTATCTTTTTTTTTTTTTTTTTTTTTGACAGAGTTAGACAGTGAGACAGAGAGAAAGGTCTTCCTTTTCTGTTGGTTCACCCCCCAAATGGCCGTTAACGGCCGGCGTGCTACTGTATCCGAAGCCAGGAGCCAGGTGCTTCCTCCTGGTCTCCCATGTGTGCAGGGCCCAAGCACTTGGGCCATCCTCCACTGCACTCCCGGACCACAGCAGAGCTGGACTGGAAGAGGGGCAACCGGGACTAGTACCCGGCCCCCATATGGGATGCCAGCACTGCAGGCGGAGGGTTAGCCAAGTGAGCCGCAGTGCCAGCTGGAAGGTATCTTGAGAGCTATCCCCAGAGGTAGATTTCTAAGTGGGGGAAAAATCTTGATGTAGAAAGTGAGACGGGATAATACCAAGCCCTAAGATTGTATGTGTCAGACAGAATACGAACTCACAGGGAAGGAAGCAGTCTAGTTATAAAGGAATGCATTTTGATTTGAAGGCCAAGAGTAAACTAAAATAGGGATGAGGATAACATTATAGCCTAAAAGAAAGCAGCAGGACTCTGAGGAGGGCTATAGAAAAGGAGGCAGAGCAGGGTCATAATAATAACATAGGAAGCATGTGGTGAGTACCTGACTTACAGAATTAGATACATGCTCGCTATTATAGGATATAAATCGTGGATGTCACACTTCATAGTGTGCAGTTTTGTAATGTTTATATGATTTATCACATTTTGCACATTAAAAGCTTTAATCAAAGTATAAACCTATATTTGAAAATTACCATGTTTAATATGTGTTCAAATGAGTGAGCCATTGGGAAGTCTTTGTCAAAACAATTTCCTGACTTACCTGTTTCGTTTGATTGTACTGATGTTTATTCCTCTTTATTGTAGAGTATGCGGTTGAAATTGATTGCAAATAATACAACAGTTGAACGGAGGTTTAGTTCATGGATCGGTGGCTCCATTCTAGCTTCTTTGGTTAGTAGATAAGCTACTTTACAAAAATATTTTACTGAATGAAATGTATAACTGAAAATATTAATTTAGTAAAGATACTTAATTTATTAAATTATTAGATTAATAAATGCTTATCAAATAAATTATAGACCTAATAGCAATTTTATATGTTCTCCATATAACAAAATACTTTATTGCCTTTTTGGTGGACCTTTGTCAGCCTAATTCAGTTTCCCCTCTGAGAGATGGAACTATGTTAACGTATTTATGTCTCTTCTAATAATGCCCCATTGGCATTAGTTAGTACTTGTCTGTGGTGCACTTAAAATTAAACAATTCCTTTTTGGTTCTGATCATTCTCCACTATTTTAGTGTGAGGTATAGGAAGTCAGGAATTGTTCTTGGGCCAAATAGTGATGGTGTTGGGTCTTAGATGTGATGTGGACTGGTGTGTACTTTGAATCGAGAAAAAAAATCCTTGTAATTTTTTGCACCCTACTTTGGGAGCATTTCCCCTTTATCTTAAAGCAGCCAAAAGACACCGAGTACTTAAGCTTGTGACAGTTTCTGTTGTTGTCCTCAGAGCCAAGCTCTCACAGCTTCAGTCTTCCTTGCCAGCTGTATTTTTTAAAATTGATACAGTGTAACAGGTATTATAAAGACCTGATATTCTTTGTAACTTTCTAAGGTTAGGCTAACTAGTGTCTTTGGATGGTTTTTGGAGGAATGCAGAAATTAAAAGAATAACATAACTCTGTTAGAAAGGAGGGGATTTAAGAGGTCTGCAAAATTTAGGAGATGTAACAAAGATATTAAAAGTAAAAATGTTTAAACTGAGAATAAGGCATAATTCTATTTCTTTCTATGTTACAGGGCACCTTTCAACAGATGTGGATTTCCAAGCAAGAATATGAAGAAGGAGGGAAGCAGTGTGTAGAAAGGAAATGCCCTTGAAAGAGTCCCAAACCTTTACCTTCCGGTGTCACCTTACGTTTCATAGCTTTAGTCTACTCAGGAAAAGAATGACCATCTTTTGTAGAATGTTTATACATTTTTGCATATTTCAATTTCCACTTAAATTTTTTAAGGCTTTAACTGGCTCTATAAATTAAATGAGTTTGTGCTTTCCTTGAAATGCACTTATTCTTATTACAAGCATTTTATAATTTTGTATAAATGTCTATTTTCTCTAAATATTTTGCTTTTAGTAAAATGCTTTTCAACTGTTTAGTATATTAATTACCAGTGGATTGGTAGAATTGCTTTTTATTGACTAGTAAAAGTTACTGCCTATGCTTTTTACCTTAGGCTTACAAAATTCAATAAAAATTACTAGCCATTCCAGAATTTTTTTTGTACTATTATGCATTGTGACTTGCTACTTTTTAAAATTTTTTAAACTTCATTTTACTTGAGAGACAGAAATATCTCCCATCTGCTGATTTATTCCCCAAATAAAGGACTGGGCCATGCTTCAGTCAGCAGCTTGTATTGAGATCCAGGTCTCCCACATGAGTGGCAGAGACCCAAGTACATGTGTACCCTAGGGTACAGTAGGAAGCTGGAAAGGAAAGTGGAGTGAGGCCTTTGTACCCAGGAACACTGACGGGGGATGGTGGTGTCCCAAGTAGTATCTTAACTGCTGTACCAAATACCTGCCCCTGTAACTTGTTACTTTGAGTATCATTATTTTGAGTGAAAGTTCTTCCTGTTTTGACAGTAATACCCACTTTTGCTTCATATTCTGTTAACAGTAGCTTTAAAAAATGTCCCTGAATTTCAAACACTACCCTGTTGTCTTTGCTATGGCAGTTAACATCATTTCCAGTCTTAAGGTAGCAGGTGATATCAGATTTATAAAAAGGAAACTGACCCTGGACTTTATACCTGATTTTTTGTTTTTTAGAGATTTATTTTTATTTGAAAGAGTTACAGAGATCTTTTGTCTGCTGGTTCAGTTTCCAAATGACAGCAATGACCAGGGTTGGGCCAGGCTGAAGCCAGGAGCCTATAACTCTGACCTGGATCTCCAACATGGGTGCAGGGGCCCAAGGAATTGGGCCATCTCCCACTGCTGTCCCAGGAGCATTAGCAGGGAGCTGGATGGGAAGTGCAGCAGCTACAACTCAAACTGGTGCTCATCAGGGGATGCCAGCCTTGCAGGAGGCAGCTTACTCCTCTGTGCCAAAATGCTGGCCCAGTATAATTGCTTTTTAAAAATTACATAGCAGCATGACCACTTCCAGTATTAGTTTGTCATATTTACTTGACTGAAAACAGTTTATTTATGAACTTAAACATAGTTTTAATTCTTTATACACTGTTAACGCAAGAAAAATAAAATGGCAAATCAGGAGTTCACATCTTGGACAAGACTTGACTTCTGGACTTCAGAGTGTGGGAACTTTTTCTGAAGAAATTTTACATTCTTTTTCTCTAAATTTTTCTTCCTTACTGTGATGCGAATTTGTTTCTCAAGTCTCAATCTGGAATAATAAAAGCATAACAACAATTTATATAAAACAATTTCCCCATTAATACTATAAAAACATGTACAAATTAATTACATAAAACATCTCAATCATGCCAGTTCTGTATTTGGTATATTACATATAAAAGTTGAAAAACTGCTTTAAACCTACACAAATGACAATGAAATAAAAAACTCCTTTAAACCCCGACCACCTCTTCTTCCTGTTTCCAGATGGGAGAGAATGTTCAGATCTTTCTTTCTTTCTTTTTTTAATTAGGCAGAGTTAGATACAGCGATCTGAAGCCATGAGCCAGGTGCTTCCTCCTGGTCTCCCATGCGGGTGCAGGGCCCAAGCACCTGGGCCATCCTCCACTGCCCTCCCAGGCCACAGCAGAGAACTGGACTGGAAGAGGAGCAACTGGGAGAGAATCCAGAGCCCATATGGGATGCCAGCTCCACAGGCGGAGGATTTAACCAAGTGAGCCACGGCGCTGGCCTCCAGATCTTGAGCTTTTTAACAGACTGGACCTGAAGTTTGATCTGATGTGATTGAGGTTATCTACATTATTTAAGAAACACTCTCTGGGGGTGGTGCTGTGGCGCAGCGGGTTAAGGCCCTGGCCTGAAGTGCCAGCATCCCACGTGGGCACTGGTTTGAGACCTGGTTGCTCCACTTCCGATCCAGCTCTGCTATGACCTGGAAAAGCAGTAGAAGATGGCCCAAGTTCTTGGGCCCCTGCGCCCATGTGGGAGACCTGGAAGAAGCTCCTGGCTCCTGGCTTCAGATCGGCACAGCTCCGGCCATTGCAGCCAATTGGGAGTGAACGATTGGATGGAAGACACCTCTCTCTCTCTCTCTCTGTGTAACTCTGACTTTCAAATAAATAATCTTTTAAAAATAAAAAAAAAAACTCTCATCTTATTAAGTGTATTGGCTTTTTGACTTCTTGAAATACATCTTAACACTTAGCAGGGGTTCCCTGATTTCAAAAAGCACTCAATCTAGCTTATGATTTTCCCTACACACACAGTAAGACTATGCTAAGAGGTGATGCACTAATTAGACTTACTACTTTTTATTTATTTTTTTTTTTAATTTGAAAGAAGGAGAGGGAGTTTTTATCTGCTGGTTCACTTCCCAAATGGCAGCAATGGCCAGAGCTGGGCCAGTCCAAAGCCAGGAGTTTCTTTCCCATCTCCCACATGGGTACAGGGGCCCACGCACTTGGGCCATCTTCCACTGCTTTCCTGGGCCCATCAGCAGGGAGCTGGATTGGAAGAGGAGCAACAGGGACTTAAACCAGCACCAGTGTGGGATACCGGCATCACAGACAAGGCCAGCCCCACTTAACTACTATCTAAATGAGTTTGTTCCATATACCAGCATCCTAGGATATAAGCAGTTGTGCCTCAGCTAAATTATGTTGAAGTGTAGTGTCCCTTGAATTGTCAAAATTCAAAATGATAAATTCATGGATGCCAAGGTTCTATTGTATTTAAGTTGGTATTTTACAGATTTGTAGGTCTAAGTTCATATAAAATATACAGTTAAACAGACATGTACTTAATAATTACAATATGCAAGTGCTGTGGAGATCAGAGAAAAGACATCTGGGTGAAAACAGAATGTGCATATATTAGAAGGGAATATCATTATATCCTTAGAACTATCTATGAAATACATTGAATTTGTTCTCTATTAATATTACATTCACATGAAAAAATCTTAAGTACCAAGAAAATTATGTACATGTTCAGAAAAAATAAGTATAAAGTAAACAAAGTCAAAATGAGATTACTCATTCCATTCATCAAATCTTTGCTCTAAATTTTGGCTCTTCACAAAAAATAAGCCCACCTGAAAATAAATATTTGCTATTAAGAATATTCAGAAGATTATTACATTCTGTGAAGGCAAGTCTAAAAAAGGTAGTTTCCAAAATAAAATCATTAGAATATATAAAGCCTATAAAAGTGACATAAAAATGACTAAGGGGCAAAAGATCAAATGGTACAATAACAGGCTTGGAGAAGTCATGGAGAAAAAAAATAGTCCATGCAGTCAGATTTCTTCAATTGCTTAGTACCTGAATGAGGTCCTAAATATGAACAGCTGGAAAGAGCCCAAAACTGTTGAAACAGAAGAAGCAAAAGAGGGGAAAAGAACGAGACACATTAAGGAGAAAGCAAAAATTCTGACTTTGATAAAGGGTAAGTAGCTTAAGACTGAATTGTAGAATGCTGCTTGGGAGTTTGGATTTCATCAACAAACTACTGTGTGTTTCTGAAGAACACTGACTTCAGGAAAGCTTGGAAGCAACATTTCAGTGGACAGCAGTGAGGACAATGTCCAGTAATTCAATGTGATGAAAAGCGATGACTGCACAAGGCCAGAAACAGAAGACATCCCGAACATTTTGCAGAAAGAATTAAATCAAGAACTGACCGAATCTGTGAACACTGCTGATGAAAGAGATTACTTATGCTTAGTGACAAGACAGAACAGGTTCACCACAGGTAAATGGACTGTGAGCAGATAGCTGGTGCACTGGGGAAGATGAACATTTTAAACTGATTCTAAAGTATACGAACACTTTCTAAAACTCAGTTGAAAGATTTCATTTCTGTTAAAGCTGTTTTTTATTTTTTTAAATTGTGGGTTTTTTTATATGGAAAACAGCTTTTGGAGAAGAAAAATTTCTTAAGAAAGATTGCTCAAAGTAGAATTATCTAAGGCAATTGTTTAAAAAAAGTTGTGGCTGGGGCTGGCGCTATGGCGTAGTGGGTAAAGCTGCTGCCTGCAGTGCCAGCATGCCATATGAGCACTGGTTCGAGGCCTGGCTGCTCCACTTCCAATCCAGCTCTCTACTATGGCCTGGGAAAGCAGTAGAAGATGGCCCAAGTCCTTGAGCTCCTGCACCCATGTTGGGAGACCTGGAGGAAGCTCCTGGCTTCAGATTGGCGCAGCTCTCGCTGTTGCAGCCAATAGGGGATTGGATGGAAGACCTCTCTCTCTCTGCCTCTCTTCCTCTCTCTGTGTGACTCTGACTTTTAAATAAATAAATAAATCTTAAAAAAAAAAAGCTGTGGTGATGGAGCTGGCACTGTGGCGTAGCGGGTAAAGCATCCGCCTGCAGTGCTGGCATCCCAGCTGCTCTATTTCCTATCCAGCTCCCTACTAATGCGCCCGGGAAAGCAGCAGAGGATGGCCCAAGTGCTTGGCCACGGGCACACAGCTGGGAGGCCTAAAAGAAGCTCCTGGCTCCTAGCTTTGGATTGGCCCAGCCCTGACAACTGCGGCCATTTGGGGAGTGAACCAACAGATGGAAAATATCTGTCTCTCCCTCCCTCTCTCTGTAACTCTATCTTTCAAAATCAATAGATCTTGAAGGAAAAAAAAAAAAAGCTGTGGTGGCTATGCTGCCAATACTCCTATCTACTCCTATCTCCACTTTAACTTTCCAGCTCCTTTTCTGGCCCTGAATTCTGATTTCTACCACCTTTAGCCAGGAATCTGCAGTTCCCCACCCATGTGTCTCTGTAGCCACAGTGATAGGAGTTGAGAAGCCCCTTTGGCCCAGAAACTCAAATCCTTATCCCATCCAATTGCAGTGTTGATTAAATACTATGGCTTCTGTTTACATTTGGATGTAGATCCAGTATTTTAAAACAGCTTTTAAAACTCTCCCTTAGTTTTTATAATTATCAGCTGGTGGTTCATAGGACAAGTTTGATAAACTTCATGCAAGAGAAAATTTGCCATAGGGAATATGTGGAGATCAACATTCTGCAAGATAACATGAATTCAGATATAATACAAAGGACTTCTCTCAGCCGGCGCCATGGCTCACTTGGCTAATCCTCTGCCTGCGGCACCGGCACCCCAGGGTTCTCATCCCAGTTGCTTCTCTTCCAGTCCCGCTCTCTGCTGTGGCCCGGGAAGGCAGTGGAGAATAGCCCAAGTGCCTGGATCCTGCACCCGCATGGGAGCCTGGGAGGAAGTACCCAGTTCCTGGCTTCGGATTGGTGTAGCGCCAGCCATAGCAACCATTAGGGGAGTGAACCAACTGACGGAAGACCTTTCTCTCTGTCTGTCTCTCACTAACTCTGCCTGGCAAAAAACAAACAAACAAACAAAAAACAAACAAAAACAAAACAAAACAAAACACACACAAAAACAAAGGACTTCTCTCCTTAACCCCATTTGTATCAGCTTTGCAAAGACATGAGCTCTCATTTTATGGAACTGAGTTATTTGGACCTTCACTTTAACATTATAGGAAATATCTTTTTAAATGCAGATGGATAAGCAGCAAGGAAGACAAATTTGGAAGGCTATACACTAATGTTAGCACAGGTTTATAGATGACTTTTTTGTTACCTGATGTTTCCATTTTTCCTTTAATGAATATGTATTATGCGTGCAATAATAGAAATTAAAACTATTTTAAAAGTTCAACATGTCATTTTCTGTAAATATGATATGTTTCATTATTAAGGGAACTTGTGCTCACCTGACAAAACGGTCCACATAAGGCATTGCAAAGAAGCGTTTCCTATTGTATCTTTTGTTTAGGTACCATGGTATAGGCCACTGCTTGAACTTGTGCCTGCCAATAAAGAAAAAAGTTATTGCCTTGTAGAAATCATTCAATACATTTTTACTTTCCTAAATGAATTGATCCAAATAAGCATTAGCAGAGAATAAAATGCACTCAATTTTTTAGTGAGATGTTTTTCCAGATCTTTTCTGTATTGGATGAGATGGTTAGACAGCACTATGCTGTCCTAAATCTGGCTAGCTGGCTCACTACCACAAATTTCATTAAAAGAATGTAACAAAGAGGAAGTGCTAGTATATGGTACAACTACAAGAATACAAAGTCTAACTACCCAAAGTGCCTACTCCATTTTGCATACTGATGTTTAAAATTCTAATGATGCTTCTTTTTGGCTGTTCAACCCAAATGTAAAAACAACATTCAGAAGAGAAATTTATTTACACTGAGCCTTCTCAATTGTGTGAACTGATTATCAGAGCCTTTTCCAAAGTCTGACTCTTGGACTGGGTGTAGGAGAGACAAGGAGTAATAAAATATGTACTGTCTCATAACTTGGCCTACGGGTTATCCTAGTGGTAATGGGGACAAACGGAAGCTGGTTCATATAACCAGAATCCTCAAGATTGCCTCTAGGTAATAGATCTGTTTTTTTTTTTTTAATGTTGCTACTCTTTGAAATATTTATTTTTAAATCCATTTTTAACTACTTGAAAGGCAGAGTGAGAGTGAAAGAGAAAGATGTTTCATCTGCTGGTTTACTCCCCAAATACCCACAACAGCTAGGACTGGACCAGGCTGAAGCCAGAAAGCCTGGAACTCCATCAGGTCTCCTATATTGGTGGAAGGGGCCCATGCATTTGGCCCATTACCTACTGCCTCCCAAGATTCATTAGCAGGAAGCTGGATTAGAACTGGAGGAGCTGGGACAAAACCAAACCAATATAGGATCTGATATGGGATGGGAATGTCTCAAATAGAGGATTAAACTGCTGCACTACAACACCCAGCTCAGTCCCAGGTTCTTAATGGGCAAAGAGGGCAAGTGTCATGTTCCTTTTTTTTTTTTTAAGATTATTTATTTATTTATTTGACAGGTAGCATTATAGACAGAGAAAGAGAGAGAGAGAAAGGTCTTCCTTCTGTTGGTTCACTCCCCAAATAGTTGCTATGAGCGGTGCTGCACCGATCTGAAGCCAGGAGCCAGATGCCTCTTCCTGGTCTCCCATGTAGGTACAGGAGTCCAAGCATTTGGGCCATCCTCCCAGCAGAGAGCTGGACTGGAAGAGGAGCAGCCAGGACTAAAACCCGGCGGCAATATGGGATGCCAGCGCCACAGGTGGAGGATTAACCAAGTGAGCCACGGCGCTGGCCCAGGTGTCATGTTCTGAAACTAGCTTCATGGCTGTCTTTTTCTTTTAAAGATATTTATTTCAGGTCGGCGTCGCAGCTCAATAGGCTAATCCTCTGCCTGTGGTGCCGGCACAACAGGTTCTAGTCCCGGTCGGGGCGCCGGATTCTGTCCTGGTTGCCCCTCTTCCTGTCCAGTTCTCTGCTGTGGCCTGGGAAGGCCGTGGAGGATGGCCCAAGTCCTTGGGCCCTGTACCTGCATGGGAGACCAGGAGAAGCATCTGGCTCCTGGCTTTGGATCAGCGTGGTGCACTGGCTGCAGCGGCCATAGAGGCGTGAACCAATGGAAAAGGAAGACCTTTCTCTCTGTCTCTGTCTACTCTGTCAAAAAAAAAAAAAAAAAAAAGATATTTATTTTATTTGAAAGCCAGAGTTATAGAGAGGCAGAGGCAGAGAGAGAGGGGTCTTCCATCTATTGGTTTACTCCCCAGATGGTCACAATGGCCAGAGCTGTGCCGATCCAAAGCCAAGAGCCAGGAGCTTCTTCCAGGTCTCCCATGCGGATTCAGGGGCCCAAGGAATTGGGCCATCTTCTACTGCTTTCCCAGGGGATAGCAGAGAGCTGGATCCGAAGTGGAGCAGCTGGGACTCGAACTAGCACCCAAAAGGGATGCTGGCATTGCAGGTGGCGGCTTTACCCGCTACACACAGTGCTGACCTCGCTTCATGGTTTTATGACTTTCTGAAATTTTATGTGTGCATGTGCATTCAAAAGTTCATGGGAGGCTGGCGCCATGGCTCACTAGGCTAATCCTCCGCCTTGCGGTGCCGGCACACTGGGTTCTAGTCCCGGTTGGGGCGCCGGATTCTGTCCCGGTTGCCCCTCTTCCAGGCCAGCTCTCTGCTGTGGCCAGGGAAGGCAGTGGAGGATGGCCCAAGTGCTTGGGCCCTGCACCCCATGGGAGACCAGGAGAAGCACCTGGCTCCTGCCATCGGATCAGCGCGGTGCGCTGGCCACAGTGCGCCGGCCGCGGCGGCCATTGGAGGGTGAACCAACGGCAAAGGAAGACCTTTCTCTCTGTCTGTCTCTCTCACTGTCCACTCTGCCTGTCAAAAAAATAAAAAATAAATAAATAAATAAAAAGTCTAAAAAAAAAAAGTTCATGGGAAACAATTAAAAGATAAGTTTAGGGGCCAGTGTGGTGGTACAGTGGGTTAACCTGCCACCCATGATATCAGCAGCACAAACTGGAATGCTGGTTCAAGTCACAACCGCTCTACTTCTGATCCAGCTCCCTGCTAATGTGCCTGGAAAACCAGAAGACAGCGGGTTCCCTGCCACCCACATGGAGCATTTGGAGTTCTGGGCTCCTGGCTTCATTCTGGACTGTTGTGGCCATTTGGGGAGTGAACCAGCAGATGGATGATCTCTAACACTCTGCCTTTCAAATAAATACATCTTTTTTTTGGGGGGTAAAGATGTTTATTTTGGTGCAAAATTTTTGAAATCTATACATACAAGTAACTCCAAAAAGTTCATGAAATATGCATATTATGAAAAAACCATGTGTGTATTTCAAAATATTTTTGCACCAAAATAAGCTTACCTTTTAATTCCATTTTTCCATGAATTCTCTGATGTACCTTCCTACATCTCTACCGTATCTCAGATGGTAAGAGTTTCCTTAAAAGATACTGGGCAGGGAATGAGGCATGGTCTCAGCACTCTGATTTTAAGAGTCACAGTGTAATCTGTGTACCAGATGATTCTTCCGAAGATGTCTCTTCTCCAGGCACCAGGTCGAGCTTTCTCTTGGCCAGTCTGAAGAAGCCTTAGGGCATCTTCTCTTTCCTGGACTACTTTGTCTAAGGCATCCATGGACTCCGCGACCTGAGAACAGAAGGACACAATCCCAACAACTGCCCACACATTGCAGAGAGAACGTGCAAACTTGCGTGGCAGAAAACTCTACCATGAGTATTTATGTGAAGGAGGCACTCTGTCGACTTTTTTTTTTTTTTTTTTTGACAGGCAGAGTGGACAGTGAGAGAGAGAGACAGAGAGAAAGGTCTTCCTTTGCCATTGGTTCACCCTCCAATGGCCGCTGCGGCCAGCGCGCTGCGGCCGGCGCACCGCGCTGATCCGATGGCAGGAGCCAGGAGCCAGGTGCTTTTCCTGGTCTCCCATGGGGTGCAGGGCCCAAGCACCTGGGCCATCCTCCACTGCACTCCCTGGCCACAGCAGAGAGCTGGCCTGGAAGAGGGGCAACCGGGACAGAATCCGGCGCCCCGACCGGGACTAGAACCCGGTGTGCCGGCGCCGCTAGGCGGAGGATTAGCCTAGTGAGCCGCGGCGCTGGCCTCGACTATTTTCTAAAAGTCCTCTAGGCACAGGTATGAACACATGGGTGTTTATAATGCTGCTTTCTATACTTTTTAAAAAGTTGATAGTTTCATTTAAAAAGACATCTAGTTCTGATTTCCATATATTAGTTTGTTTGGAGTGGGATAGACTTAGAATGCTTTTGGAGAATCAGCTTGACTCAATTTATGTGTTTCAAAACTCAGTGAGCTAGTACGAAAAAATAACAGGGCCAACATTATGGGGTAGAGGGTAAAGCCGCCACCTGGGATGCCTGCATCCCATATGGGCACCAGTTTCTGTCCTGGCTGCACCAAGTGCCTGCCCCAAAAAGATACTATTAGAACTTCCACCCATTTTCATCAAACTTTCCATAAAGATAAAAAATATATACATATTTGATTATAAAGAAATATTTATTTATGAATATTCATAAGTTACAGATTGTAATATCAGTTAGGTCAGACTTTGTTATTGCTGTGAATAGTGGGTCATTTTTAGGCATGCCTGTGGGTGTGTGTTATCCCTGAGCATCGAACACTGCGTATCCTCATTAGTTTCTGAAAAGAACTCTCAAACAGGGCAGATTAATTTAACAAATATCCCCCCTGCCCACCCCAGGCAGCTGAGACATGAAATAGATGTGAAAGTTACAATTTAGGTCAATTACCTCATAACCTATTTATTCAGTGTACCCTCAGCACTTCTAGTCTCAATTTCACTCAATGCTTTCTAGCAGATGAATTCACATTTTTCCTCTAACTATATAAAATCCTTAAGAAATAAGAGATGGGTAAGGTAAATCTTGACAAACTTAGGAGAGTGAAGAGACCACTTTGGTAAGGGCCTCATAAAATTCTTTCACTTTTAGGAATTTTTAGTAAATCTGGCTATTGGCTGACTATTTTAGAGGGCTTGTCCAAGCAAGGGCGGGGCTTGAGACCTGTAACCGAATGTAATGTAATATAAAGTACGTGGCCACCAAATCCAGAGTTAACATTCTAATGTTACTGCCAACAGACAAGAAGGCAAACCGAGAGGTAAGTTCAGTATCCCTGTAAACTCAACAACTCAAGAAGCTGCAGATTTTGAAGCTTTTTTTGGGGGGGGGGGGGCAGGCAGAGTGGACAGTGAGAGAGAGAGAGACAAGGTCTTCCTTTACCGTTGGTTCACCCTCCAATGGCCACTGCAGCCGGCGCGCTGTGGCCGGCACACCACACTGATCCGAAGGCAGGAGCCAGGAGCTTCTCCTGGTCTCCCATGGGGTGCAGGGCCCAAGCACTTGGGCCATCCTCCACTGCCTTCCCGGGCCACAGCAGAGAGCTGGACAGGAAGAGGAGCAACCAGGACAGAATCCGGCACCCCGACTGGGACTAGAACCCGGTGTGCCGGCGCCATAGGTAGAGGATTAGCCTAGTGAGCTGCGGCGCCGGCCTGAAGCTTTTCACATTTTGGATTTTTATATTAGGGATGCTCAACCAGTAAAGTCTATGCAAATATACCAAAACCAGAACTCTCAATTTTGCAACATTTCTGGTCCCACATATTTTGGATAAGAGGTTCACAACCTGTAACAATTAGATACACATTATTCAAATCAATCTCAAGCTTTTTTTGCTATCTTATGTTTCTCAGAGCAAATGTGACAGCCAAGAGAATATAAAATTAATGGAACTATGTTCCAAAGTGACAGCATACACTTTTATTTGGAGCCAGGAAAGAATTAAATTTAAGGAGTAGCCCTAAACTCCTTTTTAGAAAAAGAAAAAAAGACTAAAAAATATACTTATAAAAATTATAATCAGTATTTTATCATTTACCTTGTTCCTGTATTACAAACATGGAGGGAATAACATATCAAGTACAAGTATTTGTAGGTTTAGGAGAGGCAGAGGATAACGCAAATGTGCTAACACTCACAGGAGAAACAGAGGTAAAGGGATATGAGAATTCTTTGTATTATCTCATAATTTTACCCTAGCTCCAGTATTATGTTAAAATAAAGTTAAAAATGTTATGTTACTAGCCGGTGCCGCGGCTCACTAGGCTAATCCTCCACCTTGCGGCGCCGGCACACCGGGTTCTAGTCCCGGTCGGGGCGCCGGATTCTGTCCCGGTTGCCCCTCTTCCAGGCCAGCTCTCTGCTGTGGCCAGGGAGTGCAGTGGAGGATGGCCCAGGTGCTTGGGCCCTGCACCCCATGGGAGACCAGGAAAAGCACCTGGCTCCTGCCATCGGATCAGTGCGGTGCGCCGGCCGCAGCGCACCGGCCGCAGCGGCCATTGGAGGGTGAACCAACGGCAAAGGAAGACCTTTCTCTCTGTCTCTCTCTCACTGTCCACTCTGCCTGTCCAAAAAAAAAAAAAAAAAGTTATGTTACGCAACTTTTCCTGAGTCAGAATAACTTTTCCCATAATTAGGGCAAATAACTGAAGTTTTATTCCATACGTTCTCTGACCATCTCTAGGGATCTTCTGTCCCTCCCTCCTAAAGGCAGTTGTCAGTAATGGCTGTGACTGTGGCGGAGAAAGGAGACTGAAGTAGCTGAGGTTGGGCAGCAGGACTGAAGCTATTACAAAAACTGAGTTTTCTTTGCACTGACTACTTACTGTGGCACAGAAAAATCAATGAAGATTTGACCACAAAGGAAAAAGTATACCTAAATTTGTATAAATAATTAAACTTGTTTCTACATGTGTAGAAAAGTTCTGAAGTTCTGGTGGATCGATAGATAAGAAACATATAAACGATTACCTCTTGGAGTGGGAATAGAAAAGCAAAATGCTTTTTTTCCTATTCTTTGAGAGGCAGAGGGACAAAGAGAGATAGTCCCCAAATGCCTGAAATAGGTAGGCTCAAGCCAGAAGCTGGGAGCTCAATCCAGGTCCCCCACATTGGTGTCAGGAACCTAATTACCTAAACGATCACCACTGCCTTCCAGGATCTGCACTAGCAGGAAGCTAGGGCTGGCGGCTAGAGCCAGGTATTGAACACAGGAAATCTGATATGGGTCTGGGCACCTTAGCTGGCATCTTCTACGTCTTTCTTTTAATGATGAAGAAAAGCTACTTTAAAAAATAACTGACCTTTTCACAACAATGTGAATATACTTTACTAAATTATACAATTAAAAATAGTTAAGATCGTAAATTTCATGGTTTTTTAAAAAATGCTTATGTGTTACTTTTTACTTATTTGAAAGGAAGAGGGACAGAGAGGTAAAGAAACATGTTCTATCTGATAGTTTGCTCCCCAAATGCTGCCAACAGCCAGTGCTATACCAGGTCAAAGCCAGGAGCCTGGAATTCCATCTGGGTCTCCCACATGGGTGGCAGGTTCCCATGTACTTGAACTAGCATCTGCTGTCTCCCAGGGTGCAAGTAAGCAGGAAGCTGGAAACAGAAGAGCCAAAATTTGAACCAGGCCCTCTGATACGGGATGTGGGTACCCCAAGCAGTGATTTAACTGCTATACCACAACATCTGCTCCTTTGTTGTCTTTTACCTCAGTAAATTAAAAAAACAAAACACTTATCTGGTTGGTGAGAAACTAGCCAAAGTGGAACTAGAACTGTAAAGTGGTACAGCTCCTTTAGAAAACAGTTTGGCAGTTTCTTGATAAATACAAACTCAGAGGCCTACATCATAGCATAGCAGGTAAAGCTCCTGCCTGTAATACTGGCATCCCATATGGGTACTGGTTTGTGTCCCCGGCTGTTCCACTTTCAATCTAGCTCCTTTTTAATGGTCTGGGAAAAGCAACGGGGTGATGGCCCAAGTGCTTGTGCCCCTGCACCATATGGGAGACCAGAAGAAGCTCCTGGCTCCTGGCTTTGGCCTGACCTAGCCTTGGCCATTGCAGTCATCTGTAGTGTGAACCAGCAGATGGAATATCTCTGTTTCTCTCTCTCCCTCCCTCTCTCTCTATAGCTCTGATTTTTGAATGAATTAATCTTAAATTAAACAAAATAGGAGCCTGAGACACCATCCCATATGGGCACTGGTTCAAGTCCCGGCTACTCAACTTCAGATCCAACTCTTTACTAATGTGCTTGGGAAAGCAGCAGATGATGACCCAAGTGCTTGGGCCCCTGCACCCACATGGGAGACCTGGAAGAGGCTCCTGGCTCCTGACTTTATCCTGGCCCAGCTCTAGCTGTTGCAGACATTTGGGGAGTTCACCAGTGGATGAAGATCTCGCTCTGTCTCTCCCTGTCTCTGTAACTCTGATTTTCAAATAAACAAACAAATCTTAAAAACAAACAAACAAGGGGCTGGCACTGTGGCGTAGCAGGTTAGAACCTCCACCTGCCATGTCGGCATCCCTATGGGTGCTGGTTCAAGACCTGGCTGCTCCACTTCCGATCCAGCTCTCTGCTATGGCCTTGGAAAGGATTACAAGATGGCCAAAGTCCTTGGGCCCCTGCACCCAAGTGGGAGACCTGGAAGAAGCTCCTGGCTCCTGGCTTCGGATTGGTGCAGCTCCAGCCATTGTGGCCAACTGGGGAGTGAACCAAAAGATGGAGGAACTCTCTTTCTCTCTGCCTCTCCTCTCTGTGTAACTCTGACTTTCAAATAAATAAATAAATCTTAATAAAAAAAATAAAAACAAACAAAACACAGACTTACCTTATAACCCAGCAATTTCACACCTAAGTGTTTACTTGAGATGAAAACATGTGTCCCTACATAGAATGTTGGGGGCTGTGGTAAGAGTGGGGGTGGGGGTGGGGGTGGGGCTGCAGATGAGTATGGGATTTCTCTCTGGGGTGGTGGAAATATCCTAAAATGAGATCACTGTGACATCTGCACAACCCCGCAAATTTACTAAAAATCAAACAAAAATAGAAGCAAGAAGCCTATTTGCAAGGAATGCAGGAGCTCATACTCACTCCCTCCAACTTTAATCCCGCGCCTCCCACAGGCCTTACCTTTTCTAACCGCTCGGGACTCGGCATTGGCAATCTCTGCCGCTTGGCCTCCTGCTCTAGAGTCAGCAGCATGTTTCTTTCTTTCAGGAGGACATACCTGTACCAAAAACACAAGTGTGGGGTGATGGCCTGTGCTAGAGCTGTGATTTCTGACATCAACATGTATGATCTGCACTCAGAACTTCTTCAGAAATCTCAACATACAGAAAATCATTACAGAGAATAACCCTTTATACAGAGCTCTAGCTGTGCTTATTCGTCTGTTCCATAAAGTTCCCATGACACACAGATTGTACTAATGCTAGGAGTTACAGAACAGCATAAAACATAGTCCTTACATTCCAAGTGGAGAGAAAAGGAGGAAGATAATAATATTGACTGACTACCAACCACACAACAGGCAGTGTGCTGAGCATTTTATATACATTATTTCATTTAATTCTCACAATCTTTTGAGGTTGGCACTATTTTCACTCTTTAAAGAAGAAACTAAGGCTGAGAGAAGTAAGGTATTCTGGATCACAGTTAATTCAGCATTCAAATCCCTAACTCCCCATGTGCAAAACCCCATTCTACTTTGTTTCCCCACCATGCTGCTGCCAAAACTGTAATACGCCGTGGCATACTAAGTGGGACCCACGTGAGAGACCCAGAAGCTGCTCCTGGCTTTGAATCGGCCCAGCTCTGGTTGTTGCAGCCATTTGGGGAGTGAACAAGTGGATGGAAGATCTTTCTCTCTGTCTCACCCTCTCTCCGTAGCTCTCTCAAATAAATAAACAAAATCTCTGTTACCTTATTTTTTTTTTTTTTGACAGGCAGAGTGGACAGTGAGAGAGACAGAGACAGAGAGAAAGGTCTTCCTTTGCCGTTGGTTCACCCTCCAATGGCCGCCGCAGCCCGTGCGCTGCAGCCGGCACACTGCGCTGATCCGATGGCAGGAGCCAGGTGCTCATCCTGGTCTCCCAAGGGGTGCAGGGCCCAAGGACTTGGGCCATCCTCCACTGCACTCCCTGGCCACAGCAGAGAGCTGGCCTGGAAGAGGGGCAACCGGGACAGAATCCGGCGCCCCGACCGGGACTAGAACCTGGTGTGCCGGAGCCGCAAGGTGGAGGATTAGCCTAGTGAGCCGTGGCGCCGGCCAATAAATCAATCTTAAAAAAAAATACAACTGCCTTAAATTCTCAACTATTTATCAGGAAAATCTGCCAGAAAAACCTACCTAAATTCCCTATTAAATGCACCCTTCAACACACACCCTCAAAGAAAACAGCCTAATCTTACATATATCACTCACCATACTATAACACAAATCACTTTATTCAATTTCTTATATCAGACAGACGTGAAGTTGTTAGTGCTCACTGTTAGTATAACTGTTTCAAACACCTTGATGTTAATGTACTTAGTACACATACCAAAGTTTATGTAAATCTTCATTGCTTTTGTTCCTTAACTGCTGACAAGTCCATGAAGCACCTATAACATGATAAATTTATAACATGAAATAATGTTTTTAGCTTTGTGCCCTTGACAAAGTATTTCACCTTTCTAAACCTGTTTCTTTATCTGTAAAATACATAACAGCTTCACTATATAGTGTATAATTACGATTAAATCAGATAACATGAAAATATTAGTAACATGACTGGCAATGGCATTCAAAAAATATGAACATTAGTACAGAATGTATTTTCATACCCTAATATCAAAATATTTCATATCATCATAAACTAATTTTCAATTATCAGTAAAAAAATGACACCTAAAATAATGCTAAACTTCACTTCAGTTAATAATTTCAACTTACTCCTCTTCTAAGCCTTTTGCCAACTTGCCAAGGAACAATTGACTCTACTATCATACAGTCCTTTTCAATTTTCTCTAGTACACAATTCCAAAGGAAATTCAAAATCGACATTCTTAAATAATTCCCAAACTCGATAACTAATTCTAGAATGACAGAGTTCTATGGACAGTTTTAACGTTAACCAATCCAAGTATCTCACCAGATTTCACTTTTTCTTCCCCCCAGTTCTTTGGGTCATCAAAAAATTCTTCCAGTCCTTTCCTTGACAATGTGGTATGAAGTGATCTACACTGGGTAAAGGATGTGGCATTTTGTGTATTTCTAGGCAACAAACTAAGTGAAAACCTGCAACTGAACACATATGAACAAGTTAATTCAGTGATTCCAGATGTAGAAATTTCAAATAAAGAAGTTATCATAAAAGGGAACTTATAAATTAAGATGTCTATTAAATAAAGCATTATATATGACATCAAAAAGCTAGTAATTACATAAATGTATAGGTTGCCTTTCCCTTTCATAAGGAACATCACGGGATTGGCGTTCCTTTCTCAATACTGCGGGACAACTCTCCGTTCTTTGGCTACTTTGATGACCTAATCGGCACTTACTGAACAATGTCTTCGAGACACTTCCTTAAGTACAGACACCCCTCATCTTTCCCAGACCCTGTTTCTAACACAGCCTAGAAGAAGCTCTTCAGTAAACTTTCTCAAACCTCCCAGCCCTAGAGGACATTTCTCTATCTCTGACTTAATGCAACAAATACTGGGAATCTACGAATCCCGTACACTGCCTGGTCCACAGGAGGCTGCAACAAACCGTCTCAGGACGAATTAGAAACGCGGGGAGTGGGCGAATTCTCCAAGGTCACTCATTACTCACGCAGACGCTTCGCGCTCTGCCATCGGGCTGTCTTTCCATGCAGGCTGGAGCGATTCTCAGTATCTGGGCAACCAAACAAATGCCCAAAGTGGCGAGGTGGACAATCCTACTCCTCATATCACTTACCCTGGGCTAGCAGCGGCCTCAGGAATCACTGAGCACCTGAAAGAATTTAAAGCAGCCGAGAATCTCCTGCAAAGGCGGCCCAAACTCGCCGCTGCCATTTTTTCGCGTAACTAAGGAAACTGCGTTTCCGCCGACCGTGGCGTCACTTCCGGCGCCATCGGCACAGGCTCTTGCCCTCACTCAATATGGCCGTCTTCTACCTTTGCTCCCATTGGTGAATTGGCTCTCTCGGCTCCCGTTGGTCTCCCGGCTTCCTTCTTTTGCCCGTCGTAACCATGGCGGCGATGAGTTTGTTGCAGAGGGCTTCGGTCACCGCGGTCGCGGCTCTGTCTGGTCGCTGTCTTGGCCCTCGACTCGCGTGTGGAGGCTTCCTCACTCGTGGCTTGCCGAAGGCTGTCGGTGGGTGCTGGCCTTAGGAGAAAGTGCGCGCAGGGGTTGCGGGGCGGGGAGGACTTCCCGGGTGACCTTGGTGGGATTCGGGGAGGCAGGGAAGAATTGTGAGCTTGGGGCTTGCGAGGAGAGAGGGAGCTTTGTAAGGGGTTCCTGAGGTAATCATATCGACTGCGCTTAAATTATTAGCTAGCATTTGTAAAACGCTTTTGGCATTCACCATTCCGCTCGGTGCTAGTTTGCGGATGAAGAATGGTGCAGAGGTGACACCTTGCCGGGGCACCAGGTTGGTTCCTTGCCTGTTCCGTCTGCGCTGTTTTCTAGACGCACGGACGGGAAGCGAGGTTGCTGAGAAGCCGGCCGATTATCTAATATGTGACCGGCCAGAGAAGCTTGCTGACATCCCTTGTGGACAGCAGACATGGTGCCTGGAGAGGCCATGGTAGTTTTAGGGGGTCCACGAAACTTTTAATTTAAAAGAATATAATGTTAATATATGATAAGGATTCCAGCTTGGGTGATATGTGTGTTTTATATCAATGCAACCATAAAATATATTTTTTAATATCTTAGAGAAGAAGGGTGCAAGAAGGCAGAAGTGCCTAAGTCCCAGGGAATTTTTGCTGTAGCCCAGGACTGAATTGACCCCTTGTAGGAAGTGTGGGTTGCATCAGGAATATGAATTATAACAGTACAGAAGCAAATGCTTAATATTCAGTTGGTCTCATTCTCTCCAGGACTTTTCAGAGTTAACAGTGTTATTATCCTCATTCTACAGATGAGGAAACTGAATCAATTATTACAGAGATAATGTACCAGTGTACTAAGTAATAATGGCACTCACTGTTTATTGGGCACCTATTATCTGTCAGTCAGAATTCTAAGGCTTTAAACTATTAATTACTTTAATCTTCTTGATCAAAAATACCCTTTAAAGTATCTGTCCTGTGTGTAAAAGTAGGCAGAAAGAAGTGAAATGTTTGCCCTAAAGCCAAAAAGATTTCTAACCTCAAAATACCTTGTTCTTTTTTACCTTTTTTCTCCTAATTTGAGTTGTGCCACTTCACATGATGAGGCATTGTACACAGGGACTTGTTAGAAGCATAATGGAAAGGACCAGTGGTATTCAACAGATTCCTAACAGAAATTTGAACTTGTTACAAAACTTCATGATCTTGATCAAAATCCTCTTCAAAGCCATTTCTGATTACAGCTATCCTCAAATGTTCAAATACAAATACTGCACATGTTCTCTCAGATAGTGTTTATTGAAGTCTGGCTGAAAATAAACTGAGGTAAAATCCTACCGCCAAGTTTCTCTTTCGACATTAGTCCCTGTTCTTGGAGTTCTGGAAGAAGGATCATTATGGAGAGTCTGTGCCCTTTCCCATGGGACCAGGGAAGGATCTAATAGTAGTTGTCTATACAGCTGTATTTCACCTGTGTACCTGCTTTCAGAGGTATTTTGTATCGATTATTGCTGATATTTTATTTCTCACTCTTAGGTTATTTTTTATTAGAGAGAAAGAGTGAGAGAGCAAGCACTAGCTGCCATCTACTTGTTCACTCCCCAAATGCCTACAGTGGCCAGGGCTGGACCAGACTGAACCAGGAGCCAGGAACCCAATCCAAGTCTGTCATGTAGGTGACAACTTGAAGCCATCACTTGCAGCCTCCAGGGTCTGTATTAGCAAGAAGTGGGAATCAGAAGCGGAGCTGGGACTACTGCATCCTTGGCGCTCCAGTGTGGTATATGGGTATCCACAGGGGCTTCTTTACCAGTGTCTTAACTGCTAGGTCAAATAGCTGTCCCACATCCTTGAAACAGATAATTTTAATCTGTTAAAGTTATGAAGAATAAGTGGGAAAAGATCTGCAGCACCTGGCATTGACCTTTTAAAAATTTGTGACACACTACATATAAAATAAAATTCACCATCTTAACCATTTTTAAATGTACAAGTCAGTGGTATTAGCTACATCCCTAAGGCTGTGCAGCCATCACCATCATCCATCTCCGTAAACTTTTCATCCTGTAAAACTGAAACAGCATACCCATTAACCAAGAACTCCCCATTCACTCCTCCACTCAGCCATGTCCACCACCTTTTTATGTCTGTCTCTAGGATATTGCCTACTCTAAGTATTTCATATAAGTAAAATGTTACAGTATTTGACTTTTTGTGACTGGCTTATCAATCAGCCTAACATCCACAAGTTTCATCCATGTGGCATATGTGAGAATTTCCTTCCTTTTTAAAGCTGAATAGTACTCCATTGTATGTATCATCTCTTGGTATCCTCAGAGGCTTGGTTCTAAGACCCCCTGTAGATAACCAAAATCTATGGATGCCTAAGTCCTTTATATAAGGTGGCATAATAGGAAATGGGCATTTGGTGTAGCAATTAAAATGCTGCCTGGAATACCTGCCTCCCATGTTGAGGTGCCTGTTAAATTCTGGTTCTGCTCCCATTTTTCTCTTTATGCTAATGTGCACCTTGGGAGGCAGCACTTGATGGCTTAACCTGCCACCCAAGTGATTGACCCAGAATGAATTCCAGGCTCCTGGCTTTGGCTTGTCCCCTCCCTTACTGTTGTGGGCATTGGAAGAGTGAACCAGCAGATGGAAGATCTTTCTTTCTCCTTTCTCCTTCTGTCTTTCAAATACATTAAAAAAAAAAAAAAGCATACTATTCTCTTTCATGTTTGCATATAGCCTATGAGCTTCCTCCCATATCTTTAAATCCTCCTTTGATTTTTTGTAACACCTAATAACATTGCAAATAGTATATAAATTGTTATACTGTATTGTTTAAAGGATAATGAAAAGAAAAACAGTCTGTACATGTTTAGTATAGTCACAGCTGTCATAGACCTCATTGCATATCTCTTGTCAACAGTCACATGGCTTTTTTTTCTTTCTGAGGTTGCAGGATATGTGCGCGCAGAGGGCAACCATACATTTTGCTTATCTCTTCATCTTACAGTGCACATTTGTGTTGCTTCCACGTTTTAGCTATTGTGAGTAATGCTGTGAAAATGCCTGTACAGAAACCACCTTGAGATCCCGCTGGTTTGTATTTACCTCCTGAATTGGTGTTGTTGCTCACGTTTTCAGGTGCTTCTTGGCCATTTGTATGTCTTCTCTGGAGAAATTTCTGTTCAAACCATTTGTCTATTATTTAAAATTGGGTTTATTTTTGTTTAGTTTTAAGAGTTCTCTATATGAGCTGGTGCTGCGGCTCACTAGGCTAATCTTCCATCTTGCGGCGCCGGCACACCGGGTTCTAGTCCCAGTCGGGGCGCTGGATTCTGTCCCGGTTGCCCCTCTTCCAGGCCAGCTCTCTGCTGTGGCCAGGAAGTGCAGTGGAGGATGGCCCAAGTACTTGGGCCCTGCACCCACATGGGAGACCAGGAGAAGTACCTGGCTCCTGCCATCGGATCAGCGTGGTGTGCCGGCCTCAGCGTGCCGGCCGTGGCGGCCATTGGAGGGTGAACCAACGGCAAAAGGAAGACCTTTCTCTCTGTCTTTCTCTCTCACTGTCCACTCTGCCTGTCAAAAAAAAAAAAAAAAAAAAAAAAAGTTCTCTATATGTTCTGGTTATCAATCCATTATCACATACATAATGATAATATCTTCTCCCATTCTGTTGCCTTTTTTAACTCTGTTGGTAGTATCTTTTAAAAATTTTTTGAAATTTAAAAATTTGAAAGGTAGAGATAGCTTGAGATCTTCAATCTGTTGATTTGCTCTCTAAATGCCTGCATCAGCCAGGGCTAGGCCAGGAGCCTGAACTGAATTGGAAACCAGGAGCCTAGAACTCAACCTGAATCTCCTGCTTGAGTGGCAAGGAATTCCAGAGGCAGCTTTAGTTCTCGCCTTAGTTATAAGGAGCAATAGCTTAAAGTTGAACACTGGGGCAGGTATTTGGTCCATTGATTAGGCTGCTGCTTGGAATGCCTGTATCTTAGAGCACCTGGGCTCCAGTTCCAGCTCTGCTCCTGATTCCAGCTTTCTGCTAATATGTACCCTGCGAGGCAGCAGGTAATGGCTCCGGTAGTTGGATTTCTGCCACCCAAACGGGAGACTTGAATTGAGTTCCCAGCTCCCAGCTTCAGAGTTACAGACATTTAGGGAGTGAAGCAGTGGAAGGGAGCTCTCTCTCTGTTTCTCTGTCTCTTAAAAAATATAATAATGTTGAAGAGTGATGTGGGGCAGGCACTGTGGTATAGTGGGTGAAGCCACTGCCTGCAGTGCTGACATCCCATATGGGCGCCGGTTCAAGTCCCGGCTACTCCACTTCCCATCCAGCTCTCTGCTATAGCCTGGGAAAGCAGTAGAAGATGGCCCAAGTCCTTGGATCCCTGCACCCATGTGGGAGACCCAAAGGAGGCTCCTGGCTTCTGGCTTCAGACCAGCACAACTCTGGCCATTGCGGCCATCTGGGGAGTGAACCAGCAGGTAGAGGACCTACCTCTCTCTCTCTCTCTCTCTCTCTCTCTCTCTCTCTCTCTCTCTTTCTGCCTCTCTGTAACTCTGCCTTTCAAATAAATAAATAAATCTTTTTAAAAAAGTCTATTAAACTGCCATAGAGTTAATTCAGACATGGACTATGCAGTGTTTTAACTGAGTTCTCTAAGTCTCTTGATATGGGGGCTCTTGGGATAAGTGGGTTTTGAGAAAGAAGGATAAGAAAAGAAAGTTGGGACCAAACTGGAGGTGGTAGAGGGTAGTGGGGGTTGGGGGTGATGAATGCAAAGCCAAAGTATCTTTGCTTTATTTTGTAGGCAAAGGCACTCTTCATAATAGAAGGGTTAAACACCTCTCGGGAGTGTGTTTAGAAAGATGTATCTGAATATTGGATGATTACTGGGAATGTTGACTACTTAGACAAGTAAGATAAAGAAGACATGGAAAGAAATGGACAGGATCGTAGAACAGAAGAGGCCTTGACAAATAATGAGTGAGGGGTAGGTGCAAAGAAGACGATTGAGATTTTTAGCCTGGATAATTGAGATGGTGGTGCCTTTAACTGGGAATGAAGGAAAGAAAATGACCAATTTTTTATTTTTAATCTTTGAGACACAGAAAGATCCTACATTATGTTTTCAGTCTTTAAAAAACCACAGTTGTTAAAGACTAAATGATTTTCTTGAGGCTATTTGCAATTTCAATATTGAAGCCTTACCCCTAAGTAACTAGTAAAATATCTGAGAAATTCCAGTCTCCGGAGACTGGTGGAAGTTGGACCTGAGTTCCGGAAATCTCAGCAGTCACGTGATGGTAAGCGATGTTAACCTTAAAGAGGATGACAGCTCAGAACATTTAAGAAGTTTTGTCTGTGAAATATACTTTAGAACAGTTAATAGTAAGAACGTTATCTAGTACTTTTAACGACATGAATAATTGTTTAATAATTGAAAAAGCAAGCAGATCACATTTCCAGCTGCATTAATTATCATCACTAGAATGTAGCTAGACTAACCTTTCTTCCATAATTATTTTTTTATGAAGAATTTATTTATTAATTTGAAAGTCAGAGTTACACAGAGAGAGAAGGAGAGTCAGAGAGAGAGGTCTTCCATCCACTTGTTCACTCCCCAACTGGCCGCAGTGGCCATAGCTGCACCAATCCAAAGCCAGGAGCCAGGAGCTTCCTCCAGGTCTTCCACGTGGATGCAGGGATCCAAGGACTTGGGCCTTCTTCCAGTGCTTTCCCGGGCCATACCAGAGGGTTGGATCAGAAGTGGAACAGCTGGGTCTCGAACCGGCACCCATACGGGATGCCGGCACTGCAGGCAGAAGCTTAACTTGCTATGCCACAGTGCCAGCCCCTCATAATTCTTTGTGTTTGTTACATTTTCCATATTAATAGTGTTATCTGAAAGGCTGAGTGACAGAGAGAGAGGGAGAGACAGAAAGCGATCATCCACCTGCTGGTTTACTCTCCAGATGTCTCCAAAGGCCAAGGCTGGGCCTTGCTAAAGCCAGGAGCCTGTGACTCCATGTAGACCTCCCACATAGGTGGCAGGGCCCAAGCACTTGTGCTGCTTCCCAAGCACATGAGCAGGGAGCTGGATCAGCAGCAGAGTAGCTGGGACTCTCAACAGGTTCTTCCATGTAAGATGGTGGCCTTGCAAGCAGTGGCTTAACCCACAGGGCCACAACATCATCCCCTAATGTTGTCATTTGTAACCAGTGTTCCTTAAAATACACATAGTTTACTCCTTCCCCATTCCCTCCTCTTCTATGTCTGTGTATGTGTCAGATTGAAAGGGAAAGATAGAAAATATATAGTCTCTGGAGTAAATGTAGCATACTTTCACGGACTAAGGAGAGATCTTCTACCAACATGTAACTTAAGAGCTGTAAATTACTAACACTTAGCACCTTCTGTGTCTCAGACACTACAGTGTACTGGAGATAGAGCTGGATAAGAATCCCTGACCTGATGGACTTTCACAAAATGACTAATTAATTCTCCTTACTCTAACGGAAATTACCAATTGATTCTAATAAGTGAGGAGCCAGTTTTGAATAAGGAAGTCAGTGAAGGCCATTCTGAAGCGGTGACATTTGACCTTGGCCCTATGGGCTGAGAAGTGGAGGCCAAGCAGCAAACAGCCTGGGGAAAAGCTCTCCTGGTGGAGGGGAAAACAAGTAGAAAATCTGCACGGCAGGAAACAGTTCTTGGAATTGGAAGAAAACCTCTGGGGGAGTGAGTTTGAAAGATCTGCCTTGTTATTCTAAGAGAGGACAGGAATGCAGATTTCCTGGAGGGGAAGAACCTTAGAAATCCTCTAGGCTAACCTCCTATATTAAGTTAATCCTATTATATCCTGCTGTTTATTGATTAACTCCATAGTGGGGGATCAGTGAGGCAGTCTGGTTTGATTTTCAGTCACTCAAGTTGTTAGATGCTTCTTTTTGTTTCAAGCTGAACATTACTTTTTTTTTTTTTTTACAGGCAGAGTGGACAGTGAGAGAGAGAGACAGAGAGAAAGGTCTTCCTTTGCCGTTGGTTCACCCCACAATGGCTGCTGCGGCCGGCACACCGCACTGATCCAAAACCAGGAGCCATGTGCTTCTTCTGGTCTCCCATGCAGGTGCAGGGCCTAAGGACTTGGGCCATCTTCCACTGCACTCCCAGGCCACAGCAGAGAGCTGGACTGGAAGAGGAGCAACCGGGACTAGTACCCGGCGCCCCAACCGGGACTAGAACCCGGTGTGCCAGCTCTGTAGGCGGAGGATTAGCCAAGTGAGCCATGGTGCTGGCCCAGGGCAACTTTTAAAACTATCTGAAGATGCATTATCTCATCCCCACCTAGACTTCTTTTATGGGGACCACATAACTTTAGTTTTTCCAGTTTCCATATTGTCTGTTTCCATGTTGTTTGTCGTCCTGGTTGCTTTAGTTGGGGCACGCTCATGACTGTCCCTCTAAGAGTATACTGTGGAATAGACACGACTCCATAGGTGTAGTGAGAGGATTGGTGGCAGGAGGATTTTCCTCTGATACATCAGATTAAGGCTGAAATGGCATTTGTTTTTTGTCAGTGAGTCCAGGCAGCACTTTCTACCTACTTTCCTATATTTGATTATTTTAAATTCAGTCTTTTTTGAATGTGTTTGAAGGCCTTTGGAGGATCCCATGTTATCATCAGTGTGTTAACCTGAATTCATTGCAAGCTGCTGCACCAGGTGATAGCAGAATTATGAAGATGGTTCCTGCCTTTAAGACATTTATTGTTAGAAGTGGCAGCAGTGAAAGCAAATGTACACATCACTGGAATTTATAGCAGTTCAGGCATTGGAGAGAGCTGGGAAGAAGCTTGGCTTTTTGGAAGATAAGATGTCATCTGGGTCTAAAGAATACATTCCATGGAGGGGAGGGCAGTAAGCAGGAACAAAAGCTACACTGGAAATTAAAGTTTTTCATTCCACAGTGAGTCAGATGCAGAATTTCCTTCTGAGCAAATGGAAACAGCAATCCTGGGTTTCTCACAAGCAGCCTTCCTGCTCCCTGTGGAAGGAGCCTAGAATGCCTGTGCCGCTTCCAGACCCCCAAGAACAGGAAAAATAGGGAAAGTGGGTCCAGGACTGAAATTTGCCATTTATCTACAGCAAAGCTTGATTATATTCCATCTGGGGGAGGATTTGAAGAGGATATACGTCAGCAGAAATGGCTTACAAAAGGATGTTATCAAGATATTTGAGAGTGTGTAGTTCTGTAGCAAGTTCACATTTCTGTTGGATAAATACTGCTGGTCTCTTCCATTTATGTTGCAGCAAGTCTATAATTTCTATTACCTCCTCATCTATAATGGCATAATTTAAATTAAATTTACTTCTTTTACAGCAATAGCAAATATTTATGGCAGGAGAAACAAAGATGAGCAGCTCACCAGGAACATCTGGCCTTCCTGTCTGCTATTGGGACAAATAGAAATGATTACTTAGGTATCTCTGTAGCGTTGAATTAAAATGAAGAGAGCTACAGTTTAAAACAGTACATCAGTCTATTTAAAGGTATCCTGTCTGCCCTGGTCTTAGTATGCAAAAAAAGTATTTTGTTAATTTTATATTAGACATTTAAACATTTATTCATGTGCATTTTCTTAAAATTTGATTTCATCTCAGAATGTAACAGTATGCATGTATGAGTTTTGTATAAAACAGGGTAATTTACTTTCTTTAGCTCCTGTTCGGCACAGTGGAGACCATGGGAAAAGATTGTTTGTCATCAAACCTTCTAGTTTCTATGACAGACGTTTTTTGAAGTTATTGGTGAGTTCAGTGTTTTTTGTTGTTGAATGATGCTCTTTGCATACACATAGGAAAAAAACTTTGGCATCTTTAGAAGACATTAATTTTATAAAGGATTGTGTTTTATAAATTTGAATTTCTTTCCTCAGAAGATACTGATTGTAAAATATGATTTGTAATTGCTCTCCTTTTAAATTAGTAACCTTTTCCTTCTTCAAAAAGGTGATTTATGCTAATCAGAAGTAAAACATGAGCCATTCCTTTCTTAAAATTATAGGATTTTTGAAATATGATGTGTTCCTTGCATCAAATAAAAAAAGTCGTTAATTACAAAACTGTGAAAATTGATTCATGCAGTATGATTATTTGATTAGCAAAATATTATTTAAAGATATTTGTAAATAAAGGAGCTTATTTTTGGGGGCTATGATTTTTTTAATTCATATATTGTCTGGGAACATTGATTTCAGAGTAACACAAATCTATAGTGTGATTTTAATTTAGCAGTAATAAAATGATATAGCTTATTTAGGATACTGAGTGTATTTGTATACCTTATGGCTATCTAAAGACACCAGTGGAGGCTTAGCAAATGGAAGGTTATCTGGACCCTGCCAAAGCCCTGACTCAATTTGGGTACTAGCTAGCTTCTCCCTTTGTTCTTTTCTTCCTTCCTTCCTTCCTTCCTCCTTCCCTCCTTTCCTCCCTGCCTCCCTCTCTCTCAATCTTTCTTTTTTTAGATTTATTTATTTATTTGACAGGCAGAGTTTACAGACAGCAAGGGAAAGACATAGGGAGGTCTTCCATCTGCTGGTTCACTCCCCAAATGGCCGCAATGGCCGGAGCTGCACCGATCCAAAGCCGGGAGCCAGGAGCCTCTTCCGAGTCTCCCACATGGGTGCAGTAGCCCACGCATTTGGGCCATCTTCCACTGCTTTCCCAGGCCATATGAACCACTGCCCATATGGCTACCTGTGCCCCAGGCAGAGGCTTAGCATACTATGTCACAGTGCCGGCCCCTCTCTGCTTGTTCTAAACACTCATCTTGACCTTGACCTAGTGAGCCCCCACTTTTCTTGTCATGATATTCCTTTAACTGAAAAGTGAAAAAGTCAAATTTCTCAGGCTGGCACTGTGGCGCAGTGGGTTAACGTCCTAGCCTGAAGCGCCAGCATCCCATATGGGAGCCAGTTCTAGTCCCAACTGCTCCTCTTCCCATCCAGCTCTCTGCTATGGCCTGGGATAGCAGTAGAAGATGGCCCAAGTTCTTGTGTCCCTGCACCCATGTGGGAGACCTGGAAGAAGCCCCTGGCTCCTGGCTTCCGATGGGCGCAGCTCCGGCCATTGCGGCCAATTGGGGAGTGAGCCAGCAGATGGAAGACCTCTCTCACTCTCTCTCTCTCCCCCTCTCTCTGTAATTCTTTCAAACAAACGAAAAAAAGAAAGTCAAATTTCTACTGAATGATACTTATATAATTACTCCATTTTTCTTTATAAATTAACAATCTCCATCTGAGGAATGTCTCCACAGATTTATGCCTCTCTATACAACTGTAATGGCTAAACCACATAAAGCCTGGATTTTATTTAAGTTTATTAATATTTCAAGACCATCATATTTAGCACTATCATGAGCAGAATTTAAGCATTTTACATGGTCGTGGTACTTCGTTGACTGCAAAGTCCATAGTTCAGTTTTTAAAATGTATTTGTTAGTCCTTTTTTCTTTTACTCTTGGTGCTAAGTATGGGCATCTAAAACCTAAAACAAGAAATCACAGAGATCAATGATTTGATACTGGATCTCGAACGTGGAGAGTTTATTTTAGAAGAGGTGTAAAGAAATCATGTAATGAGGATGATTTGAAAGTAGAGATAGGAAATGGTCATGAGAAAACCTTTTTTATTTTTTATCTTGCCAGAAATTCTACGTTTTATTGACTGGGATTCCAGTAGCAATTGGCATAACTCTGGTGAATGTATTCATTGGTAAGTCCCTTTCCCTACCCTACCTGGTACAATAAAATTGATACATTTAAAAATATATGTACACTCATTTTTAAATTATGGATATTGTACCAAAAAGGTCTTTTATAAAATAAGCATAAGCATGGAAATTTATTTTAGAAATAATAAACCTTAATTTAAAATAGTATACACTTATTTTTGTAAATATCATTTTTTTTCCTTGAAAATCCTTTAAGGTTGCCAATTTGTAAAGGCCACATTGGAGATTTATGAAAGCCTCTTTCTCTTTCTCTTTCTCCTCATTTCCCAAATCAGCTTTTACAATTCTGAATAGGTTAGTGGGAAGAGGCAAGAGGCAGGTTTTTTTTTTTTTTTTAATCCAATCAGGAACATATAAGACTATAATCCTTTTTTTTTAATTTTTTTAAGATTTATTGGGGCCAGTGCTGTGGTGCAGCGGGTTAAAGCCCTGGCCTGAAGTGCCAGCATCCCATATGGGCGCCAGTTCTAGTCCCGGCTGCTCTTCTTCTGATCCACCTCTCTGCTATGGCCTGAGAAAGCAGTAGAAGATGGCCCAAGTCCTTGGGCCCCTGCACCCACGTGGGAGACCCAGAAGAAACTCCTGGCTCCTGGCTCTGGATCAGCGCAGTTCTAGCCATTTTGGCCATCTGGGGAGTGAACCAGTGGATGGAAGACCTCTCTCTCTGTTTCTACATCTCTCTGTAACTCTGTCTTTCAAATAAATAAAATAAATCTTAAAAAAAAAAAAAAAAAAAGAAGCAGAGAGAGAGGGAGAGAAAGAGAGAGAGATCTCCATCTGCTGGCTCACTCCCCAGTGACCACAACGGCCGGAGCTGTGCCAATCCAGAGCCAGGAGCTTCTCCCGGGTGCCCATATGGGATACCAGCACTGCAGTCAGCAGCCTTACCCACTATGCCACAGCACCGGCCCTGAGACTGTAATCCTTTAAAAAAGGATAAAAATCTGAGTGAAAGTGAGCATTAGATTTTCATGGGAAATTCTGTTCAAACTATTTCTAGCTCCTTGAATCCTAAAGTATTTTGTCTAGTAGATCTAGGAAAGCACAGGAAGAATAATGTCTTTTATGATATCTTATATAATGCAGAATAGGAAATTCTCATATAATGTAAGTAATGCTGAACAAACAGAAAATGTCTAAAATATGCCCAATGAATGAATTGATTTTCAGCCAGATTAAGTGAATTTAAAATGTTGGATATCCTTATTGGTATAAATACAAGAAAAAATGCTTTAAAACCACAATAAATTGGTTTCTTACTGTATAGGCAAAAGATTAATGTTATAAACTACGTGCTACAGTTGAACATCACAATTTTCTTTTATCAGGTGAAGCTGAATTAGCAGAAATTCCAGAAGGCTATATCCCAGAACATTGGGAATATTACAAGGTTTGTATAAGCCACTGAAAAATACTTTGTTAGGTATCTTCTCAATGCAGTGGTTAATATGTTAATTCAGGGGCCAGCGCCATGGCTCACTTGGTTAATTCTCTGCCTGCGGCGCCAGCATCCCATATGGGCACCGGGTTCTAGTCCTGGTTGCTCCTCTTCCAGTCCAGCTCTCTGCTGTGGCCCAGGAGGGCAGTGGAGGATGGCCCAAGTGCTTGGGCCCCTGCACCCGCATGGAAGACCAGGAAGAAGCACCTGGCTCCTGGCTTCTGATCGGCATAGCTCTGGCCATAGCGGCCATTTGGGGGGTGAACCAATGGAAGGAAGACCTTTCTCTCTATCTCTCTCTCACTGTCTATAACTCTACCTGTCCAAAAAAAAAAATCTTTATTCAGCAACTATGGTAAAGTTTTCTATTCAACTTGTGATAGCAAATAGATGACTTTTTTTGTTCTTATATATAATTATGTTTGGTAGTTCACTTCATTTTCTTTTGTTATTTTAAACTTTACGGTTTTTTAAAGAATGACTACAGTGTATATGAACTTATCCCAAGGTCAATGGAATTGGAAAGATTTTACCAATACCAATGCTGGACGTTATTTATTGGGTACCTGGTGTGCAACAGGCACTATGCTGAATGTTTTGCAAATATTATCCCATGTGAAAGATACTGTTAGTATTGCCATTTTAGAGTTAGGGAAACTGAAGCTTAAAAGTGGTAAGTGACCTGTGCCAAAGATAGGGCCAGTATTTCAACCCAGGTAATCTTGATTCCAGAGCCTGCACTGTTAGTCCTGACACCATACTGTCACTGCTACCAAAACCAAAAATTGTTTCTTGTCTTTGCAAATATTTTAGTGACATGACCTTGAACATATACACATCATGTCTTATTATCTAAGTGAATCACATTTTAGAGAAGAAATGCTTCCTTATTAAATCATAAGATAAACAATACAGGGGCCGATGTTGTGGCACAGCATCCAGCATCTGACATTGGAGTTCTGGTTTGAGTCCTGGCTGCTCCATTTCTGATCCAGCTTCCTGGTAATGCACCTGGGAAAGCAGCAGATGATGGCCCAAGTACTTGGGACCATGCCACCCATGCGGGAGACCAGGATGGAGTTCCTAGCCCCTGGCTTCAGCCTTGCCCATACCTAGCCATTGTGTCCATTTGGGGAATGAACTGGCAGATGGAAGATTTCTTTCTCTCCCTCTCACATTCTGTTTCTCTCTGCCTCTTTACTGTGCCTTTCAAATATAATTAATTAACTAATTAAAAAAAAAAAAAGGATGAACCATAACCATACAGTTGTTTACTCTTGCTGACTGGTGGGAAGAGCTCCGCTCTGGGATCCCTGAAGACTGGGTTTGGCTCCTAAGCCCACCACTTCAGATACTCAGCATCGTGCAAGGCAAAAGAGCACAGGCTTTGGGGTCCAGCCGACCTGATTTGAGTTCAGACGCTGCCATTTAGCTGAATTCCTTTGTGTAATTTACTTATCTCTAAAATGGGGACAGAAATAGTAATTTCCTAATGATTTCAAATTATTTTAAAAATAGATAAAATAGTTGGCACATAGGAGGTGCCATTGATTTTCTAGCTAAGATGATCATTTTCAAAAATAGTCAACTTGAAAAGCAAAGTACTGTTCAGGAACTGATTTTAAACTTTCTCTTGTAGCATCCTATATCAAGGTGGATTGCCCGTACATTCTTTGATTGTCCTGAGAAGAATTATGAACGAACAATGGCCATCCTTCAAATTGAAGCTGAAAAGGCTGATTTACGGTAGGCAACGTGGTTGTGTGGGGTAGGGAAGAAAAGCCTTTCCTCGGGTTGCAAACCACAAGAGAAAAATGAATAAAACTGTAGGCTGCTCCGTGTGAAAGGATGAACACAGGAGATTCTACTAGCTCTAGAGATGGGAGATTCTAAGTTGGTGACTAGGTAACAATAATAGATAATATATGTCGGATTAAAAGGAATCCTTTTGTAAATATTCTGTTTTTTATGTACAAGGTATCCCTTTCCTCGCCTATTTTCTTTCACACCTAGCCTCCCTAGAAACAACCTTGATTTAATCGGATCGTATACACAAGTATGTTCCTCAAGGAAATTTTATTTATTAAGAATATATTTCAGGCCGGTGCCGCGGCTCACTAGGCTAATCCTCCGCCTAGCGGTGCCGGCACACCGGGTTCTAGTCCCGGTCGGGGCGCCCGATTCTGTCCCGGTTGCCCCTCTTCCAGCCCAGCCCTCTGCTGTGGCCAGGGAGTGCAGTGGAGGATGGCCCAGGTGCTTGGGCCCTGCACCCCATGGGAGACCAGGAAAAGCACCTGGCTCCTGGCTCCTGCCATCGGATCAGCGTGGTGCGCCGGCCGCAGCGCGCCGGCTGCGGCGGCCATTGGAGGGTGAACCAACGGCAAAGGAAGACCTTTCTCTCTGTCTCTCTCTCTCACTGTCCACTCTGCCTGTAAAAAAAAAAAAAAAAAAAAAAAAAAAAAGTATGTTAACGACCGGCGCCACGGCTCAGTTGGCTAATCTTCCACCTGCAGTGTCGGCACCCTGGGTTCTAGTCCCTGTTGGGGCGCCGGATTCTGTCCCGGTTGCTCCTCTTCCAGTCCAGCTCTCTGCTGTGGCCCGTGAAGGCAGTGGAGGATGGCCCAAGTGCTTGGGCCCTGCACCCGCATGGGAGACCGGGAGGAAACACCTGACTCCTGGCTTTGGATTGGCGCAGCATGCCGGCCGTAGCGGCCATTTGCGGGGTGAACCAATGGCAAAGGAAGACCTTTCTCTCTATCTCTCTCTCTCACTGTCTAATCTGCCTGTTTTAAAAAAAAAAAAAGTATATTAACATAAATAAAATCCTCTTGTAAAACACTGTTCTTGGTGATCTTTCTGTGATAGGATATACACCATTCTTTTAATGCATTATACATTTAATTGGATGGATGTGTCTTAATTGTTTTTAACCAGTCTTCCATTGTTGGTACTAGTTTCTTTCCAAGTTTTTTGTTTTGTTTTGTTTTTTTTGCAGTTTACATAATGCTGTAGTGAATGGTGAATATCCTTATAAATGTATTTTGCATTCTTACACAGCCTATTTGGAAAATAAATTTCTGGTAATAGCACTGATAAGCAAAATAGTGCATGCTTTTAGAGGCCAGTGTGGTACAATGAGTTAAGTTGCCAATTGTTAGCATCTCATATAGGAGTGCCATTTGAGTCCCAGCTTGCTCCACTTCCAATCCAGCTCCCTGCTAATGTGCCTGGGAAAGCAGCAGCAAATGGCCCAGGTATTTGGATCTCTGCTGCTCATGAGAGAGAACCTGAATGAAGTTCTGTACTCTTGGCTTTGGCCTGGACCAGCTCTGGCCATTACAACTGTTTGGGGAGTAAACCAACACAAACCTCCCTCTCTGTCCCTCTCCCTCTCTCGCTTTCTCACTTCTCTCTCTCCCTCATCTTTCTCTCTTTCTCTCTTTCTTCCTTTTTCCCTCTCCTCCCTTTCCCTCTTCCTCTCTTCCCCTCTCTCTCTTTCCCTCTTTAATTCTACTGTTCAAATAAATAAATAAGTAAACTTTAAAAAAATAGAATATACTTTTAAGTTTTGGACAGATATGACCAAACTCTTCTCCAGAAAGTTGCACCACTTGTTTTTTTCTGGCAGTAATACATGTTAATTTCTGCTTTTCAGGAATTTATCAAACTTTTTTTAAAAAAGATTTATTTATTTTTTTGAAAGAGTTACATAGAGAGAGATAGAGACAGAGAGAGAAGTCTTCCATCCGATGGTTCACTCCCCAGTTGGCCACAACGGCCAGAGCTGAGCTGACCCGAAGCCAGGAGCTAGAAGCTTCTTCCAGGTCTCCCACATGGGTACAGGGGCCCAAGGATTTGGAGCCATCTTCTACTACTTTCCCAGGCCATAGCAGAGAGCTGGATTGGAAGTGAAGCAGCCGGGACTAGAACCAGCACCCATATATATTGCCGGCGCTTCAGGCCAGGATGTTAACCCACTGTGCCACAGTGCTGGCCCCAGAATTTATCAAACTTAAAACATTTTTACAGATACAGTGTTTTTTGGTTTTTTTTGTTTTGTTTTTTTTTTTTGACAGAGTGGACAGAGAGAGAGACAGAGAGAAAGGACTTCCTTTGCCGTTGGTTCACCCTCCAATGGCCGCCACGGCCGGTGCGCTACGGCCGGCACACTGCCCTAATCCGATGGCAGGAGCCAGGTACTTATCCTGGTCTCCCATGGGGTGCAGGGCCCAAGTACTTAGGCCATCCTCCACTGCACTCCCTGGCCACAGCAGAGAGCTGGCCTGGAAGGGGGGCAACCGGGACAGAATCTGGTGCCCCGACTGGGACTAGAACCCGGTGTGCCGGCACCACAAGGTGGAGGATTAGCCTAGTGAGCTGCGGCGCCGGCCAGATACAGTTATTGAAAAATGTTATTTTAATTTTGTGTTTTCTTTTTAAGAGTTTCTAAATAGTACTTGCCACCCATGTGGGAGACCTGGATGAACCTCTTGGCTCCTGGCTTTGATCTGGCCTAGCCCTGACCATTGCAGCCACCTGGGAAGTGTACTAGTGGTTGGAAGATCTCTCTGTGCCTTCCCCTCTCTCTCTGTAACTCTGCTTTTCAAATAAATGAATAAATCTTTAAAAATTATATAAAATAGAGATTCTCTGCCATAATTGTCTCCTCCAGAGATAACTATTATTTTTAGTTCTCCATATTTCTTTATACTGTGTGCATGTGTACCAATACATATTTACAAGTGGTTATTGTTTTTGATGAAATGGGAAGGTGCTAAAAGTGCTACTTTTATTTATTTATTTATTTATTTGAAAGACAAAGTGACAGAGGGAGAGGCAGAGAGACAGATCTTCCATATGCTGATTCACTCCCTAGATGACTGCAAAGACTCTAGCGAAGTCAAACTGAAGCCTGGAGCCCAGAATCCCATCTGGATCTCTAAAGCACTTGGGCCATCTTCCACTGCTTCCCTGGGTACATTAGCAGGACACTGGATTGGAAGTAGAACAGCTAGGACTTAAACCAGTGCTGTGATATGGGGTGCTGGCATTGCAAGTGGTGGCTTCACCTGCTGTGCCACAATGCCGGTCTCCATTCTTTCTAGCAGGTGCATGGTAGTAGTCGTTTTCATGGGTGAACCATAATTTATTTCACCAAGTAATGTCTTGCTGATGAATATTTTATTTACTTACATTTTTTATAAGTACATTTGAAAAGAGTAGAAAAGAAAGGATGATATTTAATCCTTTAAAAAAAAAGATAAATAGGGGCCAGCATTGGGGTACAGAGGGTTAAGCTGCTGTTTGCAATGCAAACATCAGATGTTGGAGAGCCAGTTGCTCTGATTCTGATCCAGCTCCCTGATAATGTACCTGGGAGGCAGCAGAAGATAGCCCAAGTATTTGGGCCCCTGCAATCCACATGGGAGGCCCAGATGGAATTCCTGGCTCCTGGCTTTGGCCTGTCCCAGACTTGGCTGTTGCGGCTCTCTGGGGAGCAAATTGGTGCATAGAAGGTCTCTCCCTTTCTCTCTGTCCCTCAGCCTTTCAAATAAATAAATAAACTCTTCAAACAAACCCATACTTTCTTAAAGTGAATAAATTTCCAGTCATATGAATAAGTTCCATTAAAGAAAGTAAAAAGCTTGATGGAGAAGGGGCTGCTGCAGGAATGTGTGGTAGTTTGCGCACAGTTGTGGACGTGGAAGAGAGAGAGCATTTTTATTGAATAGAGGTTACTCAGTTTGTGAAGAAGGCTGAGGACACTTAAGTAGATTTTGAGGTAGGGAATGTTTTTCTTTATAAATACTGTGTCTAGTTGAGCGAGCACAGAGTAATGCAGATGCCATTTCTCCTCTTGAGTTTTCTGTGTTAGGTGATAGGCTGCCAGCGTAGGATGTGATCTCCTCCAGCAGTGTTTATTCACCCTTCTTTCCGAGCACTTGGCCCAGCGTGTCTGATAGGCGATCCGTAAATGGCTCTCCCGGCATCTAAAAGGTGGAAGATAGGAAAAGCACTGTCACACATTAGGTGGAAATGATCTGTCTACACAAAAAGCAGGGACAGTGAAGGAGAGAGTTGATTATCAATCTAAGTGATATTTTGGTGATTAAAAGTACTGAATGGCTAACTGTGATAGCAAGATAATGAAAGTCAAAGCCAAATCCCAAAGTTTGCTTGTCTGTATATAAGATAAATGCTTACATATAAGTTTGTTTACAGAAGAGACTTGGGGTAGGTGTTTGGCCTAGCACTTAAGACTCCAATATTGGACTGGTGCTGTGGTATAGTGGGTTAAGCTGCTACCGGGAACACTGGCATTCTATATGGGCACCAGTTTGATTCCCAGCTACTCCAAGTCCGATCCAGCTCCTTGCTAATGTGTCCAGGGGGGCAGCAGAAGATGGTCCAAGTGCTTGGGACCCTGCACCTACGTGGGAGACCCAGATGAAGCTCCTAGCTCCTGGCTTCGATCTGGCTCAGGCCTGGCTGTTGTGGCCATTTGGAGAGTGAACCAACGGATAGAAGATCTCTGTCTCTCTCTTTCTCTCCCCCTCTCTTTCTATAACTCTAACTTTACAAAAATCTTAAAAAAAAAAATTTCCTGTTTCCCATTTCGGAATGCCTGTGATCAAATCCCAGCTCCGTGTTCTGGATCCCAGCTTCCTGTTAATGTGGACCCTGGAAGGCAGTGGTAATAGGTGAAGTAGTTTGGTTCCTGCCACCTGTGTGGGAGACAGGGATTGAGTTCCTAACCCCAGCAGTTGTGGGGGATTGGAAAGTATCTCTGTCTCTTTGCCTCTAGTTAATTAATTTAAAACTTTATTAAGGACTCTGGTGGTTGTTCTTTATGGAGATAATTCATTAAATTTGTAATTAGAAGTGCTGAAATCACAACATTGTTGTTCTATTTATTACAGGTTAAAGGAGATGGAAGTTCGAAGATTGATGCGTGAGAGAGGCGATGGACCCTGGTATCAGTACGTGACCATCGATAAGGCACTTATTGATCATTCACCAAAAGCAACTCCTGACAACTGATCACTTATTTCTCCAAAATATGTTCTCTTTAGTGGAAAATAAATTAATAAATATTTTCCGTATTTTTGTTTTGTGATGAAAAAGAAGAGCGTCTTCCATTACTCTTTCTCAATGTTGGTTCAGATTGAAGCTTTTGATTTTGGGCTTTCAGCCTCCTCTTGGTTTAAAATGTAATAAAGCTGAAGAAATAGGAATCTGTGAAGTCCTAAAGTTGTGATGACTTTAAAAGGTTAGTGTTTTATTAATCTGGTAAATGGAAGTTATAGAAGAGAGATTGAATGTTAAGTATCAGAAAATATGATAGTTTATACATGTGTCCGTAATCTGCATTATTCAGGAATGACTCAAGATTTTAAATTGCACAGGAAGTATTGAACCAACTAATAAAATATTAACACTTTAACAAACAAACCTTAAAATTTAATTTTTTAGCCATATATTGTTTCTTTAAAAACTATACCTGCATTTTTCTTTGATGGAATATCTAGGTTTTATAGTGTCCTTTTTTTTTTTTTTGTAAACACTGAGAGCTGATTGCAAAAAGTAAGATGATCACTATAAAGATTATGAAATCTAAGTGAAAGCTAAGAATAATGGCTGTTATTTATTAAGCATTTGCTGCCTACTAAGTACTGTGCCAAATAACTATTTTCACATTATTTTCCAAAATGACCTTACTCTCTGCATGAAACCTGAGGCTCAGATTTTAAGCACGTTCTCAATATTTATAAAAATAAACATTTAAAACATTTATACTTCAACTTCCAAAATAGCCTTTTAGTTTGAAGCAATCATATTTTTAAACCTGTTAAACAGTATATGAGTTCATCTACTTTTTTTTAAAGATTTATTTATTTGTTTTCTTAAAGATTTGTTTTTATTTATTTGAAAGAGTTACAGAGAGAGGTAGAAACAGAGAGAGAGGTCTTCCATCTACTGGTTCACTCCCCCAAATGGCTGCAGCGGCCAGAGCTGAGCCAATCTGAAGTCAGGAGCCAAGAGCTTCTTCTGAATCTCCTACGCAGGTGCAAGGGCCCAAGGACTTGGGCCATCTTCAGCTACTTTCCCAGGCCATAGCAGAGAACTGTATCGGAATAGGAGCAGCCGGGACTAGAACTGACACACATATGGGATGCCGGTGCTTCAGGCCGAGGCTTTAACCTGCTGTGTCACAGTGCGGGCCCCAAGATTTATTTATTTAATTGAAAGGCAGAGAGAGAGGGGGGTCTTCCATCTGCTGGTTCACTCCCCAGATGGCTGCAACAGCCGAAGCTGGGCCAATCCGAAGCCAGGAGCCAGGAGCTTCTTCTGGATCTCCCACATGAGTGCAGGGGCTCAAGAACTTGGCCAACTTCTACATAGCAGAGAGCTGGATCAGAAGTGGAGCAGCCGAGACTCGAACCAGTGGCCACATGGGATGGCAGGACTGCAGGCAGCAGCGTTACCTGCTATGCCACAGTGCTGGCCCCATCAGATCATCTACTTTTACAAGTATGTTCTTAAGTTTTTCATGAAGAAACCTTACTCTTTGTACAAAGCACAGATATGTGAATACAGTACATCTGTGATATTAAAATATCAAGGCCAGCATTGCATCGCAGTGGGTTAAGCCACTTCTTGAGAGCATCCAATATCAGAGTCTCAGTTTGAGTCCTGGCTACTTGACTTCCAATCCAGCTTCCTGCTAACAAGCCTGGGAGGGCAGTAGAAGATGGCCCAAGTGCTTGGGTCCCTGCCAACTATGTAGCAGATCACAATGGAGCACCTGGCTTCTGTTTTGCCTGACCCAACCCTGGCTGTTTGTATCCATTTGGGGAGTAAACAGCAGATAGAATATCTCTGTCTCTCTTTCTCCATCACTCTGCCTTTCAGAAAAAAAATTTTTTTTTAATACAGATATTAAGTCTTGGGACCCTGATCCCTGGCACATCATGAGATTCTTCCTCTGCAAATTTAATGCCATTGCTGTCCATCACCAGCCCCAGATGTCCAACCAATGGGCCCACCTGATCTTGGGCTTCAACCTCCAAAACTATGAGCTAAGTAAGCCTTTTCTATTTATGATGTTAGTTGCCTCGGGTATTTTTTCATTGTAGTAATGAAAAGCTGTCTAAAACAAAATTGATACAGCGGAATGGGTCCATTGCTATAACTATACCTGAAGATGTTGAAGTGTCTGTGGAATTGGTTAATGAGAAGAGGTTGGAAGAGTCTGGAGCAGCAGGCCCGAGAGTGCTGTGAGCTGAGCATTAAGGGTAGTGTGCTAAGGGCTCAGACAACCAGAATGCTGGTAGACAGGAGGACGGTAAGGGCCACACTGATGAGGTTTCCCTTAGAAATGAGGAGTCTATAAACAAGTTCAGAGTTGGTGAACTCAAGGGGCTTCCATAGCCTAGACAGCTCATGGCAAGAGCCTCGGGTAATTGCTGACATCATAAATAAGAGTGCCAATTGTTAAATCAACAACGGGAGTCACTGGGTACAGGCTCCCCACATAGAATCTCTGTCCTTAATGTGTTTTACTATGAAACTTAAAAACAACACTACTAGTCGAACAATACCCTAAACCTTGAGCGGTTGTGTGAGGGCAGCCTGTTGAAATCCTTGCTTAGTATATACTAAGTTGATCTTCTGTATATGAAGGTAATTGAAAATGAAACTCGATGAAGGGTGGGATGGGAGAGGGAGTGGGAGAGGGGAGGGCCGCAGGAGGGAGGGAGGTTTGTGGGGGGAAAGCCACAACAATACAAGAGTTGCACTTTGTAAATTCACATTTATTAAATAAAAAAAAGAAAAAAAAAAAGAAATGAGTCTAATAGCAATAAGACTGAAGGCCTCCCTTTTTACTCCATGGCCAAGAACCTGGCTTTGTTGTGTTCATGCTGCAGACTTTGTGGAAGGCTGAACCTAAAGCTGATGGACTATGGGTCTGGTGCTGTGGTGTAGTGGGTTAAACCACTGTCCGCTGTGGCAGCATCCCGTATGGGCCCTGGTTCGAGCCCAGCTCCTCCATTTCTGATCCAGCTCCCTGCTAATGTGCCTTGGGCCCCTACACCCATGTGGGAGACCCAAATGAAGCTCCTGGCTCTTGGCCTCAGCCTGACCCAGCCTTGGCCATTACAGCCATTTGGGGAGTGAATTTGTGGATGGAAGATCTGTGTGTGTGTGTGTGTGTGTGTGTGTGTCTTCCTCTCTCTGATTCTGTCTTACAAATAAATAAATCTTTAAGAAAAGATGATGGACTAGTTTATTTGGTAGAAGAGATTTTATTTAAGGCAGCAGAGTGTTCAGGCTGCACTGTGGGTGTTATTGGCTGCTTTGGGTCAGTTTTACGGTGAAAATCAGGAGAAAGGAACAGAGCAGTGCAAGTTGGAAATTTTGCCACTTGGCTAGGGAAGGAGTGAAGGGAAAGCATGTTGCAGATGGGAGAGTACAATAGAAAAATCCTTTTCAAAAGAGATGAGTGCAAATAAGAGGGATCCATGTGCTAACCAGCAAAAAAAAAAAAAAAAAAAAAAAAAAAAAGACTTTCAGGGCATCTCAGAGATCTTCCAAGCTGCCCTTCCCATCACGGGCACAGGGGCCTAGAAGGGCAGAATATTTGTTGGAACTCCCATCGTACTGTCTGCAGGCTTGCCCAAGACCCGTGGGGATTCATTTCCCTGCATTCAGCCAGTAAAGTACTCGGCAGCTTCAGCCAAGCTTTGGCTGGGTGGAGGTTCAGCTTGTGCTGGGGACAAATTTGGCATCATCCAGGTGAGGCTAATTTTGCAGATGAGCAGAATGTGAGTTACAGGGTCATGGTGGCTTACACTGAGATTTCAAAGGAAATCCTGGGAAGCCAGGAAGCATGAAGTGGGATGGGATCCCCGGCATAGAGCCATTAATGGAGTGATGCTCAGTAGGGCTATCAGAGCCAAGCTGAAGCATGAAGTGGAGACCCCAGAAAGTAAAGGGGCCAGCAATTTGCCATGCCAATCTTGGAAAGCTGCAAATGTCTGTGTGTAGCCCAAGAAAGCATCCATGTGGGCTGCAGCCAGCAAAGCATAGGAACAGGGCTACCCAAGCCCTTGGGAGCCCATCCCTAGCCACATTATGTTATGTGGACATAGAGGGTTTTTTTTTTAATTAATTTATTTGAAAGGCAGAGTGACACAGGAAGAGAGGGGGAGAGAGAGAGATCTTCCATCAGCAGGTTCACTCCCCAAATGCCTGCAACACCTGGAGCTAGGCCAGACCAGAGCCAGGAGCCAGGAGCCAGGAGCCAGGAACTCCATCAGGGTCTCCCATGTGGGCAGCAGAAACCCAAGTACTTGGGCCATTAACTGCTGCCTCCCAGGAGTATTTGCAGGAAGCTGGGTTGGAAGTGCTGAGTTGCCAGGACTCAAACCAGAAACTCCAGCATAGGTGTAGGCATCCCAAGCAGTGGTTTGAGCTACTGTGTCACAATGCCTGCCCCATGAACATGGAACTTTAGGATTGATATTCGCCCTGCTTAGTTCAGATCTTGTTTATTTTATTTTATTTTATTTTTTTGACAGGCAGAGTGGACAGTGAGAGAGAGAGACAGAGAGAAAGGTCTTCCTTTTGCCATTGGTTCATGTCGCTCCCCCTCTTCGTGGAGGAACGACACAGGACCCTGCGCTGTTCTTTCGTCTGCTCGGCCCTCCCCGGGTTTGCTGCTGGTTCTTCCCGGGTTGGCTGCCGTCCCTTCCACCTCCGTGGAAGGGCGGTTCCCCCTGGCCACTTTCCCCACTTCCGCAGGGGAGCGGCACACCGCCGGCCGGCTCTCTCGGGGGCTGCACAGGTGTTCCCCTTAGATGTTCCCTTTAGATGTTCCTGGTGCATGCCGTCTCTCTCCTCCTATATAGTCCTCCTCCGCCAATCCCAACTCGGCTGCCCACACGCCGAGCACGCTGCTCTCCTCCAATCAGGAGCAAGTCCTACAGTTTATTGGCTGAACTGGAGGCAGCTGTGTAGAAGCTGTTTTCTTCTCTCCCAGCGCCATATTGTGGGAGAGCAGATGCATAGAATAAGTCTTAATTCCAGTAACTTAGTCTAGTCCGAGTTGCTCCCCAGAGGTTCACCCTCCAATGGCCGCCACGGCTGGCGCGCTGCAGCCGGCGCATTGCGCTGATCCGATGGCAGGAGCCAGGTATTTCTCCTGGTCTCCCATGGGGTGCAGGGCCCAAGC